TAGTCTCCGTGCAATTTACGTTTGAGCTACTATGAAATTATTTCTTCTTCAGATTGACAAAACGAATAAATATGTGATAATTTTCCACTTTTAGGATTTTTCATTTTGGTTTTTTCAATAATCTTGTTATAACACAACACCTGTGTGTAAGTACCGATTTCTTCTCACTTTAATCCATTTTGTGTCCTAAATTGAACGATGGATCTTTCTACTTATTGCCACCGAAATTAAATAAGTAAAATGTATCTGTTTGGGGTGTTGGAGCAAAGACAAGATTGAACGGTTTTATCGGAACAAAAAACATTGAAACTAATTTGTTTTTACTAATATAAACATAATCAGTAGGTCGAGGGACGATGTAAAAATCGTTTATAATTGTATTTTTAATTTACCGTATTACAATTAAGTTACCGCTTAATCTGTTTATATCCTTACAATATTTGAACCAATTCAAATTCCAACTTTGCGACGATTCCCTCAAAGTGTTTTTTGACTTCCTATAACTAAATACTTTCAAAAAATCTCCGGACAGACTACATCGAGTTCACACAAAATAAAATGGAATAAATAGAACAATAAACACATGTATGATAAAATTTTTCATATTAATTACAAAATTTGCGGCCCTCACTTTAAGGCATGATTGTTATGCTCCATGACCCCCACTGTATGCAACTTACATTTAGAAATAAAAGCCCAAAGTAGTACAATCGTAATTAAAATGATGAGTACTAAACTTTTCTCAAAACCATAATTTTGTTATATACAATTATTTTCACTTTATCACTTGCGGATTTAAAGATAAAAGCACTCACCATCTAGTGGCGGAGGCTTCAATTATTGCATTTAAAGTGGTTAAAAACTTTAGTTTAAACTTTTGGAAAAAATTAAATTGATTTTTCCAGACACTTGTAACTAATTAATTAAATTAAATAATTATTAGAAAAAAAACGTCTAAAATAAGCCAAATAATTGTCATTTTTTGGTCATTTGGCCATTATTAATGTTAGGATATATATCAATAATCTAAAACATATTCATATTTATCTCTACTTTAAACTAATTTTTCAAATTTTTACTCGATATAGGAACAAGACAACGAGTAAAGCCTGTCTTCAAGAATCCTGCATAAGTTAAAGAACGGAAGAAGCCAGTGACGAATTAGAAAAAGTGTTGGTTTAAATGAAATTATCAAATGATTTCCACGTTACTTTTGAAATAAGATATTGTTATTTATGATCACAACACTACAACGACAATGAACAAAGGTGTATTGATAGTGGATATCAGATAAACTCAAACATTTCAGTCTAATTTTTATTAAAATTAAAAATATATACACGGGGTCGGGAATAAATAAGCAAATCCCTGGATATCTCGCAGTATAAGTTAGGGAAATAAATTAAAAACCTCATAACCGACGTGTTTTTTTCACAGGGGAATCCAGTGACGTCTTTGGATTTGACCTTGAACATAAGCTCAAAGACGTAGCCGAACGAAAAGTTTCTGCTCTTTTTAAATATGTAATAAAAAACAAGGGTTCCTACTTGTTAAATCGATTTTTGATTCGCTGTAACTTTGAGGTTGTGTTCAAGGTTAAATCCAAAGTTACCAGTGAAAAAATAAGTCGGAGATAAAGTTTTTGAATTTTTCCTCCTCCTTATTGTGAGAGAATTCCAAGGGTTTGCATATTTATTCCTCATCCTGTATATCCATAAGTATCAACTCATATTTACAATTGTCAATCATAATTAGTTCTCGCATTAGTGGAATGCTTTCTTTACAACCTCTGTGAAATTTTTTTTTGTGTGCAAGCAAATGCGATATATGCCCAAATTTTTTTTCACAATTATCACATGTAAACTCTTTGCGAGTTTCGTGGAACAGTTTTTGGTGTTGTATCAAATTGCCTCGAGACCCGAATTTCTTCTGGCATTTATCACATGCGTAATCTTTCCGACTTTGGTGAACTATTTTTTGGTGAGAGAGCAAATTCGATTTCTGTCCAAATTTTTTTTCGCATTTATCACATGCGTAATCTTTGTGACCTTCGTGTACTGTTTTTTGATGGCAAAGTAAATGTGGTTTCTGACTAAATTTCTTCTCGCATCCGTTGCATGCGAAATCTTTGCGACCCTCGTGGACTGTTCTTTGGTGGGAGAGCAAAAGCCATTTGTGTCCAAATTTCTTCTCACACTTGTCACATGAGAAATCTTTCCTACCTTCGTGTACCGTCTTTTGATGGCAGAGTAAATGTGGTTTCTGACTAAATTTCTTCTCGCATCTGTCGCATGCGAAATCTTTGCGACACTCATGAACTGTTTTCTGGTGTAAGAGCATATACGATTTATGTCCGAATTTCTTCTCACACTTGTCACATGCGTAATCTTTCCGACCTCCGTGAACTATTTTTTGATGGCGAAGCAAATTGGATTTTTGTCCAAATTCCTTTTCACATTGGTCACACACAAAATCTCTCCGACCTTCGTGTATTATCTTTTTGTGTTTGAATAGATCTGATTTGTATCCAAATTTCTTCTCGCATATATCACATGCAAAATCTCTCTGATTATCGTGTACTGTCTTTTGGTGGCATAGCAAATTAGGTTTATGTGCAAATTTCTTTTCACATCTGTTGCATGCGAAATCTTTGTGATTTTTGTGAACTATCTTCAAGTGGGTTATCAAATGCGATTTTTGTCCAAATTTACTTTCACACTTGTCGCATGCGTAATCTTTGCGACCTTCGTGGACTGTTCTTTGGTGGATCAGCAAAGTCGATTTGTGTCCGAATTTCTTTTCACACTTGCCACATGCGAAATCTTTGTGACTTTCGTGTACTGTTCTTTGGTGGATGAGCAAATGCGGTTTATGTTTAAATTTTTTCTCGCACTTGTTGCATGCGTAATCTTTGTGATCTTCGTGTACTGTGTTCTGATGAATGATCAAATGTTGTTTACGTCCAAATTTCTTCTCACACCTGTCACATGCAAAATCTTTGCGACCCTCATGGACTGTCTTTTGATGGCGAAGTAATTCCGATTTTCGTCCAAATTTCTTTTCGCAATTGTCACATAAGTAATTTTTGAAGTTTTCTTTGCTACCATCGTGTACTGCCTTTAAGTGTACTAGCAAACTCTGTTTACTTCCAAATATCTTCGTACACTTTTCACACGCATACTCGTTCTGATCATTGTGAATTGTGTCTCGGTGTTTTATCATACTTGATTCTAGCGTAAATGCCTCCTGATTAATATAACAAATATATTGTTTGTCGTTTGAAACAACAATGTCATGTTTATTCATATTATCTTTCGAGACAACTTCCTCCAATTTCTTCTCACTTTTATCCATTTTGTGTCCTAAATTAAACGATAGATCTTTCTACTTATGGCCACCGAAATTAAATAAGAAAATTGTAACTGTTTGTTGTTAAAGCAAAGACAAGATTGAACGGTGTAATAGGAAAAGACAACATTGAAACTAATTTGTTTTCACTATTAACTTAATCAGTGCGTCGAGGGCAATTTAAAAATCGTTTATGATTATATTGCTCACGATTAAGTTACCGGTTTATCTGTTCATAAGTTATCCTTACTATGTTTATTTTTACTCTGTTAACCATCAACGTCCATCAAAGAACAATCCTCGCTATTGTTGATCAATTTTCCCCAATTGAATGTCTGAGTTCATCGAACACGAATACTTACATGGATTTTCTGTCCGTTTTTGGGGTGTTTCGTCCAAATAAAATTTGAGTAACAGTTTCGAAGATGACACAAACTTTACACTTTTTTAATGCTCGTTCAGTTGCAATGGTCTTCAACGAGTTCAAATGCATATTAGCTACAACGGCTTTTTTTTTTAGTTTTCGCAATTCGTACGTCGTGGTGCAATAGTGTATACAAGGCTCAAATAAATTAGTGATCTTACGGTATTTTTTGGTTTAAACATTCGATAGTGAAGTATATGCATTAATTTACCGAGTCAGAAATATCTTATATTTTGAAGATTTTAAATGACAACAATACGATGTCTTCGCGGATTTCCGAATTCACGATTCTCGTGTATTACATGCGAGGAGCGTGGCGGGATCGACGCAGCTCGTCTGCCATACTTGCCATTCGGAGCGCGACACGCACTCCTCGATATCAATGACATGAAAAAAATTTTCATTCATTGATAAACTTAAGCCCTTGCAAAAATTGTTCATATTAAGACGAAAAAAAGGAATTCAGCTGTATAACTAAAAATGCTATCTAGTCAAAGTAAATTATCCACATCGGTTCATCGTGTGTTTTTGATCGGCAAGATATACCGCCAGACCTATAAGATCTCAGCAGGCCCATCGTACAATAATACCGCTCATTGGCAAATCGCGTAAATTTTTCAACGGCAACCAAGGTGGTCTCTTGGCGCAATCGCAGCGGCGAATCATTCGCACGCGGTCTGGTCCGATTTCCGAGCGCGCCGCAGAAACATATATACCGATCCCGAGGCTCTTTCACTCGCTAAAACAGTACGTATATAAATATAAGTACGTCATCGGACATCGCGCGGGGCCCCTCTCGGCCCCACATCCTCCTACCTTTTCCTCTCGTTTTTTTTTTACCTGTACGCCGCCGCCTCGTATACAATATATACCTCGCGGGCATGAGTCCCCCACCTCTCTCCTCCTCTCCTCTCGCACTTGGTATTACAAACTCGTCTGCAGCAGCGGTAGCAGCAGCCACGGACGCTGACTTTCTCGAAATCCGCGAGCTATAGAGCTGTGCGCGCGCGCCATGCCGAGGAGTAGGTAGCAGTAGTTGTGTCGAGCGAAACACGCGAACGGACGCTACTTGAAATATTCGGAGTGTTTGTCAAAAAAAAAAATAAAAATAAAAATAAAAATTGCGTACGCGCTCGAGCCGATGATCGTAGCAGCCAGCTATGATAGTAGCAGGCCTGGCCGATAAAGTACCATCATCGCCATCACCATCAGAAGCAGCAGCAGCAGCATGGCTTCGTCGTCCTCATCGTCCAGCAACCGAGTTGCCGTCCATCTGGCGATTCTAGTCCTCGTTCTTGCTGCCAGGGCGACCTCGACTCACGGTAAAACGTCAAAATATCGATCCGTCAGCGGGGCGCAACACGATGTACTGGGGACCGGTTCGCCAAGTCTCTAATAAATAAAAGTGCATCTCCTGCAAAGTGTGTGGTGCTGAAAAGTAATATTCGCGAGTGCGAAATACCGTGGTATCCTGTGCACTATACGCGAGTCGCTGTGTGCGGTGCGTGTGAATAAATGTGTCTTGCGTTATTATGGTTCGTCTCTCTCTCTCTCTCTCTCTCTCGTCTAGGCCTATTTCCTTTAAATCTCAATCGTATATATATAGGCGTACTTTCTCTCGCGAACAATCGGGATAACCTTGGTATCGTTTCGAAGGCATATATATAATATATCTTGAGGAATGTTTATGAATCGTCGCGCGACTCCGCGTGTACCACTAAATAAAATAAAAATAAATTGGATCGACTTTCTAAAACGCATACAGCCACGGGATATACGATATTATCGTGTATACAAAATATATAAAGTTGACGGCGATGTCTCTGTGCGATCAGGTCAATTCAACGACGACGACGACGAGGACAAGCGAGGCAAGTTCATCGCCACTTTCCAGACCTATCACCATCAGGTCTCGGGCTCGGTCTACGCCGTGGACGCCTACACGCTGCTGCTCACGGACTTCAGCTACGACGGCAAGGGCGCCGACACGTTCTTCTGGGCCGGCACCACCACCATGGCCGGCCCCCAGGGCTTCATCGTGCCCGACGAGTACGGAAAGTGAGTCGATGTTACCTCGGGTTCGTGTAACGTGACGGATTTGCAATTTTTTACAATTTCTTTTTTTGTACTAGAACGAACGTGTTGACTCGCTACCACAACAAGGACTTCACGCTGACCTTACCGGACGGCAAGAAGATCAGCGACATCAAGCGCTTCGCCGTGTACGATCTCTCGACTCAGGTATGCGCTTATACACCGGATGAGTTAATATCGAAAAAATTTCGACGTATCGATATAAAAATAAAAAAAAATATCGTTATGTAGCAAGCCTACGGCGACATCACGATCGCCGAGGAATTCGATCCCCCCGCGCCGCGGCGCATCGCGCAGCTGAGCACGCTCCAGCACAATGTGTCATCCGAGTCGATCGTCGTACTCGACGCCAAGACCATCAGCATACCGGCACTCACCTACGACGGCCTCGGCGAGGACACGCACTTCTTCGTCGGCCAGGGCTCGAGGCCATCGCCCAACGGCGTCATCGTACCCGACGAGCACGGATAGTCAGTATATCATATACCGATCTTCTTTTTTTTTTTGGGATATGCCTTTTTTTTGTCAATGACGATGACGATGATGTCGATGTTACACGTTGCAGCTTGGATCCGATTCGAGCTTACAAAGGAGTCGACGTGGTCATCGTCTTGCCCGGAGATCTGACCATCTCGAAGATCAATTGGCTGAGCATCTACGACGTCAAGAGCAAGACCAATTACGGATACGTATCGATACCGGAAAAATTGAGCGTTCCTCCGTCTCTCATCAAGGTATATAATCTGCTGTATTTATTGAAAGACTATCCAAAGCGAGCAAAACTTTTCTCGTTAAAGGTGCACCAGATCGAGAGTCCTGAAAAATATACCTGTATTCAGCTGCACAAAAAATTCCAGCTACATTACGACATTAACGCACCATCGATAAACTTCAAGTTGGTTGGCCAAATGGGTAAGTACAATAATGCCTTACTCATGTTTTCCAAAAAATCGATGCAGGACTGTCCTATAATTATGGATTTATATCGCACCGTTCCGCAGATGAGAACGATTACATGGCCTGGGGTCTGTCGGGCTCGGACGAGAGAAGCCAGATGGAGGGCGCCGACTTGACGGTCGCCTACATGGACGACACCCTGGGCTACGCCGTGGATTACAACGTCACCGCCAAGGCACCCGTGAGTACACACGATGAAACGTTAATTATGATTAAAAAATTGCGAAGATATTGAATTACGTGTATATAATTTCGTGCAGTGTACCAAAGTACTCGGCCAGTACAAGGGCGTGTGCAAGGACGAGCTGGTCGGCGGCCAGCAAAGCAACCAGCTGTCCGCGGCCTACCGTCAGAACGGCATCACGTCGGTCAGCTACCGGAGGGCCCTCATTTCTCGTAAGGACACTTTGATATAGAAATTATCTGCATTAATAATGGTCTAATGATGAAAAAGCGATCGTTTACATTACCTTATACCATTGTAATTGGCTCGGTTTTCGGCGATTTTTCTGTGTTACAATAATGGGACTTGAAAAGTGACTATTTAAAAGTATTAAAGAATTCAAACGACATTCAACTCGATAGTACCGCTTCGAGTCCCTGCCACTAGATGGCGAGTAGCTTTTATCTGTGAAATCTGCAAGTGGCAAAGTAAAGATAATTGTATAAATCAAAGAACGGCTTCGTAAATTCTAATTCGATGTTTTCGGTACTGTGGTACTATCAAAAAATCGCTATATATTCGATCTGCCTGCCGCAAAAGCGCGCATATCATTGTAATGCCTTTTGCTCTTAGCCGATCCCGGCGACAAGGAGTTCCCCCTCAACTCGTCGGTCTACATAGTCTGGGCGATGGGCCGCCTGGACGAGCGCAGAGAGCCGAGCTTCCACGAGTACTATCCGAAGGGCAACGTCAAGCTCAACTTCAAGAGCGACACCTCCGCCAGCGCCAGCAAGAGCAACTGCATGGGCTTCCAGCAGGAGCAGGAGGGCGCCGCGGGTCTGCTCAAGCTGCAGCAGCAGCAGCGCTCCGCCGCAGCCTGGCCCAAGAGCATGATCTTCGATCGCAGCGTCAGGACGTTCCGCGCGACGATCGGGCCCGCGGCGGGCCGTCGCGGCTATCAGGCGATCACGGGCCAGACGACGATGGGCCTGGCCTGGTACATCAACGGTCTGCTGGCACCCGAGCTGTACGTGAGGCGAGGACTGACCTACAGCTTTCAGGTGTACGGCGGCAACAATCCGCACAGCGCCGAGCTCTATCATCCGCTCATCATCACGGACGAGCCGCACGGCGGCTTCGACAGGCTGAGCGACCTGACGCAGAGCGGCGTGCGTGTGCTGGCCGGTATCGAGTTCACCAGGCGCGGCAGGCCTAGACCCACGGCCGGTGAGTCGATATTGCTATAACTTCTCGATTTTTCCTCAGGATTTTTATAAGTAATCGTTGTTTTGTTTTTTTTTACAGTCGGACCCTTGTGCCTGAGCAAGCACAGAGAGGACCGAGATCGCAGACTCGACGACGAGTTTCCGACCTTCCAAAAATTCAACAGAACCCTAATAAGCTCCTGCGAACCAGGTACGATTTCGTTTCTTTTTTTTTTCTCACGATCGATCGTTTTCGTAGCATGAAAATTAATTTCGATTCGTTCGCAGGTGAGCCTGGCATACTCGAGATCACGCCCAATTCCACCTGGCCCGACGTCGTCTACTACAATTCCTTCACCCACGCGAATATGGGCTGGAAGATACAAGTGATCGACGCTTACTCCAAAAGCAATGCAGCTCCGAGCGCGAGTCTCAATTACCCCATAGTCCTTGTTTCGTTGATGTTTTTTACGACAATTTTTAACTTTTAAGACCACCCCCTATTAATATTATTATTACGATACCGAACGACGAATCCAGTCTTATGAGACGTCGAGTATAGTTCAGAAGTTGACTTAGAACTTCGGTTATAGCTTTTATTTTTCAATTTTAACGGATGAACATCATTGACTGTTTAAGCTTAATTTTGTTTTACATCGTGTAATTTCGAGACTTGGATGCAAGTTGCGTAGATGTTTTTTAGAAGCCGAAGTCCTCCGCAGAGTTTTCTCGCCAACTGACAATATAATGTCTTGGAAATGTGGCGTAGAAACTTGCACCTGAAGCTTGAGAACCAGCCTGACTTATCTCCCCATCTTGACTCTTTCTCTCGCGGGAGCCTTTTGAACTAAGTGCTTCGCCACCTTGCGGCAAGAACACAAACAACTTGTAAAATGTGATTTTACTTTTTTTTCTAAAAATAAGATGGAAAAATGAAATTAATAATACTCTCAGGGTTTTAAGTTACGAAACGTTTCTTTTATTTTAAATGATTAATTATTTATTAAATTTGTGTGTATGTATCTTCATTTATTACACATAAGAAGCTTCAAGCCATAGAATCGAACATTGGTTGTTGTCATCGAGACCGATGTACGATTAATTTTTTTTTTTTCAAACAAATTCACAAGATTTAGCATAAAACGATGTTCATTTTCTTCAAATATCACAAGACATATTTTAATACTTCATCGCGTTTAATTGTAAATGATTTCTCGTTTCGTACACAACATTAGGCATTATAGCTGTTGAATAGTTGGTTATTATTAAATAAAATAGTTATGCAAAAGATACTAGGCTTGACTTTGCATTATAAAATACGATGCACATGTTTATATAGCGATCGAGAAAGATGTCATAGCATGAAAAATTTCTTACGAATTGTTAGAAAAACAAAGATACTGTAGATATGCTATAAGATATTCTTTCTATTATGAACACATAGTAAAATGTTTCACGACAATTTTGCTGTAAAAATTTATTTTATATGTAATTTTGAAAACATTTTTAGGCCGACTAATAAAATATTTCATCAAACTTATTAAATACAAGTTGAATCGAAATATTTTTTTCAATCGACTTGATATTTTATGGTTTGCGGATAAATTCAAAATTTATTATGCATAATTTTTTAAGCGCAAATCGATAATTATTAGTCGGGACAATATGCCATTGGTGCAAATTGATCACTTTTTGGATGTTCTTGAAGTCGTGTTCATAGAGTGGGTAGATTTACTAAAAGTTATATAATTTATATACCCAATTGTTTTCATTGAAAATAAACATTTTTTTATTATAAGAACGAAGGATTGACTAGCGTTAAAATTTAAATTTTAAATGTTGTACATATACTTCTACAATGATTGTTTTAATTTCTGATTCATCAGATAACTATTATACAGTTAACATGTTGGCATATAAATGAAACGAATAAATACAAACTACTGGATATTTTTAAAATATCGTTTTAACTTTAATGTATAACCTGTGGCATAGTGCCCTGACTTATCTGCTATAGGCTGAAAAATAAAATAAATTACAGCATGGAAGTGCATAGTTTTTTGAACATCAACGAGAAATAATCTCGTCGGTGTATGGCATTTCGACATTCTTTTTTCCGTTCAATCAATCAAATTATACGCTCACTTTTATTAGATTCATTCTCACTAATGAAAACGTTTTTATTTTAACGCAACATATTTAAGACTTATGTATGTAATTAATTAGATATCACGTGTGTAGTCTTCGCAGAGTCCTACGACATTCTCCAGCCTTTTTTTTTTTTTTTAATAAAAAGTTACATATACAAAGACATGTCTAGTAAAATTATTTAGCTCAGTTTTTCACGTTTCTCAAACTTGAAGCAGAACGAAATAATTTAAAATTTGTACAAAGCTACTAATCGGAAATATAAAGCTAGAAACCGTAGTGGAGTTTGGTGTTTATTTTTTTTAACTCAAGAAGTAGTAGACGAAGTCACAATAAAAAACTATAAAAAGTTCACATAAACCTAGAGCGTTATTTCCTATTGCTTTGAATATGTTCTTGCAAATAGTTCATCTGTGGGACTTTTTTTTTATTCTTTTACAATCACTCGATTTCGCAAATGACAAAAATGAAATTAATTCAGCTAAATTACACGATCATGTAAATATTAAAAAAACAAAAAAATAAAAAATAAAAGAAAAATTATTTCTCGTGTAACTCGATAAAACGATGTAGCGTCACAGGCAGTTCCTTGCATTCAATACCATACTTGCAAATAGCCTGAGCCGCATGGCACTGAAGAGTTAGATAATTTACAAGATTGATGTCGTTGACGGCGTTCGAGGATATCATTCGAGCGGGTGTGTCCCCAACGAGATTCGGCGTGTCCAAGTGTGCTCCGTGGTCCAACAATAACTTAATTAACTGCGAAAAGTCAATGAGAAACACATTGAGTAACGGTCGATTGCGTCGCGGCTGTCGTTCGTGATATAATTTACTCACCTTATTATGAAAATTGTAAATATTACTAGCTATGTGCAGAGGCGTCGATCGAGATTCGTTCTTGGCATTAATGGGAGCACCGCACTCCAGAAGAAGCTTGACGACTCCGTAATGAGGAAATATTTTCTGGATAAAACAGTTCCAAATTAAAATCCAAAAACGCGTACGTGTAATTGAAAAATTGTATTTTAAAAACGGCCGTCGCTTACGTGTATGTCGTCCGCCGCGAAGTAATTAGAATGAATGGTATTCAGACTGGAGACGCACAGATGCAGCAGCGTGTCCTCCGTGTACAGCGATTTGGGATTTATCCTGACTAATTCTCGGATCAGTTGCCGCATTTCCGTCTGCTCCTCCTCCGTCTGCGCGGTTTCCAGTAGCAAATATATCAAATGTGTGACGCACTTCAAAATTCGGTTATAGCTCTCCTTCTGTCTTTTGTACACTGGACGTTGCTGCGAGCACGAATTCAAAAATTGAATAAAAATATATGGACGTTGCTATTTTTGAGTGAAAAATTTGCGAGTGTCTCACCTGTAGCAGCTGTCTCGCTTCGGTGAGATTGCTCGAGAACAATTTGAAAATCGCCACAACATCACAGAATCTTGGCTCCGTCTTCTCTCGGTTACGATCTATTTCTACAGTTTTCTCGTTTAAATCTACCATAAGCCTAACCAATGCCTGAGCCGTGAAACAGGTATCGGAGTATAAAATCTGCAAAATCGAACGGCAAAGCAATTCAGTAAATCGAATGAAGAAAAAAAAAGTGCGATTGCAGCGGAAATTGTATAGATTCGCGAGAGCAGCCCTTGGAAATTTCGAGGCAATTTCGAGAGGCGAGCTTTGACTATATTTAGCCATCGCAGATAGCATTGAATCACTTCGTTCGCGCGTTTAATGAGCGATGCATCAGCGAAAGAGGTAAAGCGATAAATTCGTAAAAATTGGGTTATTTTTAAAATACTTACGGAGTCCTTCTCCACTCGAATTTCCAAAGCTCGTTTCCACATGTCTATACAATACTGATAACTGAAAATGAAAGAGAGAAAAAGGTAATTATTTGGAATTATGCGCGACAGTGAAAAATGGATTAAAAGTTGGTAATCAAGATGAAATCCTCGAGCACACGTATGAAAAAAATTAGGGTCAGAATTCTCTTTAAATAGACAGCATATTTTTATCAATTTTTATAATCTCTTAATAAAGTCTCGCAATTATTTTACGAAGGTTTTACTGATAAACCAATGTTGACACACAATTACTTTTTCATGCCATATTTATTATCATAATGGCAAGTTCATTAAATTAATTATACCTGGTAGCAATGATTTATCAGTAGAGTCTAATTTCGTTTATTTACTTAAAAACTTAATTCAAACTGTTCATGTCCACAATAAGTGGTACTATTTATAAAGAATCCTGCAATAATATTCCCCAAATCGGTTCTCTAAACTCTATGAGTCATCTTTGTCGTTCGATAATGACGATGTCTTTGCGGCTTTGCGTTCGCCGAACTCTGTCGACGCACATGCTCGCGGTTTCACCGCGTCAATTGCGTCAAGAAAAAAAAATGAAGGAAGGAAGGAAGGAAGGTAAAAAAGCTGCTGCTGCATACCGTAAAGCGTCGGCGTACGAGGCGCCCCGATACATGAGCCGGAACAGCGTGTCCTTGTGATGCGGGCCGAGGATCCGCTCGCAGATGAGCAGGCTCTGCATGCGCACCGCGTCCAGATCCAGCATGACCGTGTCCAGCTCCTCGAGGCTGCTGAACTCGGTGGCGTTGAGGAACGTGTCCCAGGACGGCGACACCGGCCTCTTGGGTATCGGCTGGCCGTCCAGGCCGCCGTTGTTGCGTATGTGTATGGCACGGCGCCAGTAGGACAGGGCCGACTGCGAGTCGGCGTGCTCGTCGAACAGGGTCGAACCGATGAGCTCGTGCGCATCCGCGAGCCGCTCCTTGCTGTACTCCACGTGCTCGACTGCGAAGAGACGAGAGAAAAAAAATAATAAAATTACATCGAGAAAATTCGATTTAAAAATACGCGTATTTTTTTTTGCTCGTATCCCAGAAGACTTTTTTCCGGCTTAGCCGTAACGTATAAATAAATACACATTTGCGCGTCTCGCAAACCCGTCGACCTTCGGCGCGCGCACGCACCATCATAAAAAAACTCAAGACTGCAAGAGAGAGAAATATTTATTTTTATACAATATGTAAACTCACTCAAGTAATCGAAGATCTGCGTGGCACCCTTGAGACAGGCCGTCTGCAGCGCGTCGTCGTTGTAGCGCGAGCGCAGATGCGGATCGGCGTTGTAGTCCAGCAGCAGCTTGGTCGTCTCGAAGCGGTGCTCCTGTATGGCGTAGTGCAGGGCCGTCTTGCTTTGGATGTCGGTGGCGTTGACGTCGACCCCGTGCTCGAGCAGAAACAGGCAGAGATCGACGCTCTGCACGGAATTGATGAGGCAGGTGCCGCCGTTGTAATTCGTCTTGAGGATGTCCGCGCCGTTCTGCACCAGGTACGACACCACGTCTGTGACGACGACAAAAACAACAACAAAAAACCATCATCATCAATCATGTATCGATGCTCAGCTTATATGTACTAGTTGCGCAAGGTGTACGATCGTCTCTCGTCGTTTATTGGCATCCGGCGCAGCATTGACCTAGACCTGCCTTGGCGCGCGGGGGGAATCTTGGCAACGGAATATCGACCGATGCGCCGACGCTTATCAATGTCAATCGGCGAGCGAAGAAAAAAAAAAGAAGAAATAAGTTGAAGAAGCATCGAATCACTTCCGCCGGTTCTCAGCAGATATATCTCGAGAGACACGAGAGGAGCGCGCGACATTATAAGGTAAACGAGAAACGTTCGAAGGAAATCGAGAACCTTGGAGGATACGAAAATTAAAAATGCACCATCACCGCGCTATATATACGAGATAATTACGGCATTAATTGGACTTTGGAAAATTTTAATATCATCATACTCACTGAGATGCGTCATGAAGCAGGCCGATCTCACGGGGGTCGAGCCGGAATCCGAGACGGCGTTGACCTCGGCGCCGTGGGCGACCAGATACCTGAGCACCTCGAGCTTGCCCGAGACGGCGGCGCACCACAGCGGCGTCACGCAGTGCACCGACCTATCGTCCGGCACCTCGTAGAGGCCGCGCTGCTCGATGTCGGCCCCGCACACCCCCACGAGATAGTCGACGATCTCCAGGCAGCCCCGTTTGCAGGCCAGGAAGAGCGGGGCGCAGCCGTCCTTGGTTCGACTGACCAGGGCCCGACGCTGCTCGGGCTTGAGACGCTCGAGATTGAGCTGGACCTCGTAGTCCATGCGGCCGTCCTGGGGCGCGCGCTTGATCGACTCCATCAGAGCGCTGAAGTGCTCGTCCAGGCTGGGCTGCTGCGTCTGGGTGGATTGGGCGCCTCGCGGCCCGTTGGTCAGCCACATGGTCGTCCAGCGCCAGCAAGCTCTCCGGCTTACCAGACCCCGCTGTGGGGAGAATAGACATAAATAAAAAATGACACGTGTGAGTGAGTTAATAACCATATGTTTTTAAGTATCGAAGATCGATCACACAAGCACGTGCTGTCGTGCACGCAACGATGACTTAAAAAAAAAAAGACAACAGAAAGTCGCTGCGTGAATGAATCGACACATAACGTACAGTACGAGTCAAGGAAACGATGGTCTAGGCAGTAGGACGCGACCAAGCTTCGTATACATTGTGTTTAATAAACGACGATTTAAGGAGCACATTGCGTGCGATGCAACGTGCAAAAGCCAACGTATAAGAGATTGAAATTGCGGCTGCGACTCTATATTGCGCGAGTATCATATACATACATATAATAATGCTTGATATAAAATAGCTCGTGCAGAGTCTCGCTATACAGCTCTTTACTTGCTCGCTCGCGAGTAAGTAAGTCTACAATAATAACAACGAGCCAAGGTCTATAATTGCAATGCTCTTTCTCGTATTATAGTATATATAAGTTGTTATTGTTGTGCTGCTGCTGCTGCTGCAGCGCGTGCGAGCGCATACATTGACGCAAGTACATTATAAACTGCCACGCAGGTAAAGAGCAGCAGCAGCAGCAGTCGATTGCAAAATCCCTATTGTGTATCGGTATGCAACTAGACAGCAGCTTGACGATTGTACTATAGTCGCGTGTATCGTAGTGTGACACCCATTTATAATAAAAGTAAGCACATGGTAATTTTAAGATGTATCATTATTTTGAGGCCGCGTGTCTCGACGCGATAGCACGTGACACTTTTACCCTTTGAATTGGCTCTCGATGCGAGAGCACTTTGAAAATTGAGTAGCAGCATCAGCACACGCGTTACGACTATATTACGTTTTATCCCAAAGTCCCTGCAGCTCGATGAGATAAGATTAAGATGATGATACACAACTTTAAATTTTAAGGTATAGGCACACGTGGTGTGTGCGCGCGAATGTCACGCAGCCGCGCACGCAACAACAACACAACGACACAAAACAAAACAAGAGCTGCAACGAGCGAAAAACGATCGCGTTGGAGTGCCCCTGTGCGTACATGACCTCATCGTGCGGCGTGAGTCAATTTTCGTGCACAATGAACTTTTGCGAGAGTCGTCGAAATCGAACAAAGAATTCGGGCTCTCGCGCCTCTCACTCTCTCTCTCTCTCTCTCTGTACTCGTGTTGCTGTGCGTGTGCACCACGTAAAAGGATGAATCGACCTTTTCTTTTTACACAACGAGATAAGCTGTTGGCACATTGACCTACGATTTGAGACAGGAGGCTGGTTCTATGGAACATGCGGATCTCCCACACACTTATATAGACACAAACACTGATTCAATTTCGAGGCAAACCGATCGAAGGAGGAACGCGGTTAAAGATGTTGCTTACAATTGCTCGTCGAATCTTGGTGTGCACTGCACGGCAGTCAGCAGCAGCAGGGACGCGTCGCAGCACACGCTCACCACTGGCGCGTCGCTTGCCAACTAACTGAAGAGAACTGTATAATATACGCGCGTGTTTGTATGTAGCGTGCTATAGTGCGCGCACCGCCACAACTATATATACTATATAGTTAAGTTAAGAGTCGCGCGACGAGAAGAGAGAACCTGCCCACCGTCGCTGCCACTGCACATACGATACAGCTCTCGGTACTCTCGCGGTGCACAGCTGCTGCACATGTAGCAGCAATGCGCGAGATCCGCGATCGAAGAGCTGCTGCGACTCGCGAAAACAGATATATAGACTCGCGGAGCTGTGCACCCAGAGCTCCTGAGCTGTTGTACCTTTCACCCGCGCAGTACCACGTCTGCCGCAGTGACACCCGCGCGAAACAGAAGCGGCACCTATATATACTTATATGTACCTGTCGTTCGCGCGAGGGAATCGTACAGGTGTTAATTCGTGGTCGAACGTTCTATAGCGAGTATAGCAGCTACCGCGTATAGCCGATTTTTTTCTTTTGCTCTTGACTTGCTCTTTTTTCGCGCGATGACTGCGTACGTATAAAATATACGCGCGCGCAACGATTCAGAAGCGGAGAGCAAGAGAGATGGAAAAATCGAAGAGACAAAGGGGGATTTCCGATTTAGTGGAGTTTTGAACTGCACGTACGAATCGCGTACTCGAATGACGTAGATCGGCAAAATCGTGCACGCATCGGCTTACGCGTCAAACCAAAGAAAGAGAGAGAGAGAGAGAGAGAGAGAGAGAGATAGACGCAAAGATACACGAAAAAGGAGTGACAAGTTTCTTACTGCTATGCTCAGGCCTGCAGCACGTGCGAGAGGAAAAGAGAAAGAGACTCTCGATTAAGGGACTCGACCCTGAACAACGACTACTTATACTACTACTACTGCTATGCGTGCAGTTCGTATCCATGCATAAAGAGCAACGCAGCAAGAGAGTGAGAAAGAATGCGTGTCATATATACAATGGCTCGAGTATCGACGACGACGACGACGACATGGACAAGAGATCGAGCACGCACGTATCGGGCTTATAATATATATTGCCTTATCATCGACGCGCACACAGCCACCGCCGCCGTCGAGTGATAAGTCGCTGTCATCTGTCGCGATAGACGCGCGGCGATGACGAATCGGCTCAGCTGCAGCAGCAGCAGTTCTCTCGAGCTATGTGCTGCGTGAATGCGACGAATGACGACGTCGACGACGAGTGCACATGCCAAATCCCGACATACCCCCGATCCACATTTCGATCGCGATGCGCGCATTATTATTATTATTATTATATATGCTCTCGAATCCATCGATACCATCCGAAGTAAAGCAGCAGCCACTCGTCCACTGCTATATTATATATCGCCCGCGTTTATTTATATCGCCGCGCTGCACTTACTTATGTATGAAACTGCTCTCTGCTGCTGAAATTCAACTATATATATTATATATAGTGGCCGAAAGCGAGAGAGAGAGAGAGAGAGAAAACGAGAGCTCATGCTGCTGCTGCTGCAGCGCCGCAGCGGCGGCTTAAAGGGGTGCTCCGCTAGCTAGCTGCACGTCTGACAAGTGGAATGTACGATTGATGGGGTGAATGACACTTGGTCGTTCGTCGCGCGCGCGGCTCGCCTCGTTCGCGAGAGCTCTCTTTCATTCACATCGTATTATATATATGCGACGAGCTTTGAAAGCGACGAAGCTCGAATATGTACTGCACGCTGGTCTGGGTGCGAATCGATCGAGTAAAAGGCAGCAGCTCTTGTCACAACGGATTTTCGTCGCCCAGACCAGCAGAAGCTCTTTCCTGAGTATAGCTCTTGGCGATAAATCGACTTCCTATCGTCGAAAAATGACGAAGCCTCTATAAGCATGCATGCACGTATGTATGTACAATGGCATGTGGCCTCTCTCTGCGTACACACACGTGCGTGTCGTTGGAGCTGCCAATTGCTGACCCTTGCGATGAATGACGCGCACACTGAGTAGAGTCCGCCGCGTCCGCATTGATATAATTAAAGCGCCGAACGAGCCCGCGGGCGTATTCGGGAAAGCTCTCCTATTGCAAGCTCTCTACCTATATCGTTTATACATACTGATTCTATTTCCGGCTCGAAGCTTGTATCGCACTTTGTCTTTTGTAAATCGAATAGAGAGAGTAAGACGACTCGGCCAAATACGCGTTGTTTACTTCTCGCCGTTGTGTGCGCAGTGGTACACTTCCCGGTGTCCCTCGAGGTCTATATAATACGTATCATTCCGTGTGTATGTCAAGTACGGCCGGAAGAGCGTGTCTATGTACTTTTAATATCGACGCGCGACTTCGGAATATAAGGGAGGAAGTGTATTTGCTGTATATACACGTCGAGAGCTTGCGCGAGGCAGCTGCTTACATCAAGTTTTTTTTCGACAATTTGAGAGAATTCGATTACACGCGCTTAAAAAAAATTCTTGCGCTCGTCGCACAAAAGCCATAGCGCATTACTATGCACGCGAGTGCACGGTACACAATAGCAGTAGCAGCAGCACGTGTAGCAACGAAAGCAGCAGCAGCTGAATGTAAATGAGAATCGCGGACACTGCCTCGTGTCTGTCTAGCAGTAGAGACGACAATGAACGGCAAAACTTTTGTTTTATACCGACTTATATTTATGCAGCCTCATTTAACGCGCGTGTGACTTTTCTCGCCCTCGCGAGAGAGCTTTCATACACAGACACAAACACACACGCAGGAGATCAATACGAGTTATTATCCTAACATTCGAGCTATGTGGAGTATCGAACGCGTCATTATGCTAGCCTCGAGACACTAGAGGCAATTTTCTCAATGGCTTTTCACGCGCCCCGAGATGAGACAGGCGCGTCGTGAGCTCTCGACTCTACCCTTGACGACGACGATAATATAACGTGTTTTATATACGCCTCTCGCACAATAGGAGCTCGCGACGTCGTCTGCGTGTTTGAAGTATAATATAGAGAAAAAAAAACAACAACAACGACGACGATGTGCGAGTATAAGAGAATAAATATCGACAACACTTTGATTTTCAGATCGTTGTGAGCCCCTTCTGACGTTGGCTGTCCGCTTTTCTTTGTGTGTGTATAATACTAAGTAAAAGCTTTGTTTACCCCCAGCAGACGATTTACCGATGAAAACGCGGATCGAGTTTTACGTCCGACCGATATTCATTGTATACCGACACTTATTACAATGAGCAGCCGCGATTTGACACGCTCGACGACGTTTATATCATGTATTCGGAGAACGGAGAAGAAGAAGGTCGCCAAAGCCCGCAGAGGCTGCAGAACTCCGTTGAGATACATATTTAATGTATGTATATCATTGGGAGGTTAACTTTCTAACCTTAAAAAGCCGAAGGTGCTCGGCTAGGATCAGCAGCAGCACCACGACCATATGAGCCTCGTCGCGCTGGGGGACAGCAGCAACTCGGCGGCGGCGGCGGCGTCGTCAATGGCCTCGAGTGCAGACGTCGTCGTCGATTTCTGTTGTTGTTGTAGCTGCTCTTGCTCAGCTGCTGCTGCTGCTGCCTTGGGGGAGCTAGTCCAGCTTACAGTAATGTGCGTCCGCGTCCCTGAATGGGCGCGCATGTCTTCGTGCACACACTGTGGCAGCAAGTCGGGCTTTCGGCGGACGACGCGCACTAATTAATAGCTACTGCTGCTGCTGCTGATGCTGGATATATATATTGTGGTACGCGTGTGTAACGCGATTCGACGACGACGACGACGACGATTCACTCGCGGGGGAGGATGTGTAGATTTTGGACCGAGTATATACACGCGTTAGTATAGGGAGGAGGGAAGGGAGAGTTGCGAAGGCTAACGGAGTCGCAGCTTTATAATGTATACACACAGCGACCGAACGAGAGGAGAGTTGATGTATAAGCACGCACACACGAACACAGAGAGCGAGAGCGAGAGTCACACTAACATAGAGCAGTGGCTGCTGCTGCTGCTGCTGCAGGAGAGACTCTTTTTTCAAGGTTCAATGAAAATGTGCGCGCACAGCTACTACCCTCGTCCTTCCTCTTTATATATGCACGAGGTACAACGACGATGAGTAAATCGAAGATGACGAGGAGAGAAAGAGAGTCGGACAGACAGAGAGAAAGAGCTTATAGGACGAAACCCTTACTCATGCAATTTTTGCGCAGGAAGAGATGTGGCCTCTAGCTTCTTCTAGGTTGCTGTTGTCGGGCTCGTGTTGTTGTTGTCGTTGTTGTCGTTATTATTGTCCCGTGCGGCACACGAGACACGATCCTTTGCTCGTCTTCTTCTCCAGAGAGATTATACACAAAAACACTATATACTCCCAATCACTGCCCCGTCGATTATACTAGTGTATCAGTATATAGGCTCTCGTGTGTGTATTGCGCGTGCAGAAGTGACTGCGGGCCGCGATTATTTAAGCTCGAATTACGTACAAGTCCGTGGCGATACACGCACTACTCGTGTGTAAACACGTCGCGCGCACTATACACAGGCACGCAGTGAAACGATTAATATAGAGAGAGAGATAATAGGCCAGACGAACTGTTATATATGTACCACCGTGTCTCGTCTCTAGCAGAGTCGCGTGAGAACTGATGTACTCGTGCACCGCGCGAGACTCTGCAGCCCAAATCCCTCGATGTAACGAACGCTGTGCAGTACACGCACACACACACACGCACGCACACATACAGGCGCGCAGCCCAGCTGACGACAATCGCGCGACTCTTAAATCAACATTCGATATATATAGGATGTGCGTTACAGTGTATGTATATGTACGATTTAAAAGGCTGGGCGCGACTCCGGAGTCTCGTCGTTCGTTACATAGCTATCGAACGTACATATACACTGCGAATGAGTGAGAGAGAGAGAGAGAGAGAGAGCGTCGTCGGCGGCGCACACACGACCAGTTTTGCCTGGCTGCTGTGACGTGAACAACGACCGCGACGGCGTCGACGACGACGACTATATTATATACAGCTTTTTAAGTATGAGACTCTCGTGTTGCTATATGCAGCAGCAGTAGGCAGGCAGGCATACAGGCACTCGTGCTGCTCATGTGTGTGTGTCGCGGCCAATGCTAAACATCGATACAGGTATATATCGTCGTTTATATAGTGGCGGATATAATACTGGATGGATGCGCGTGCGCCTCTCGCACTGCACACAACAACAACTATGAAGCTATGACTGCGACGGCAGCACACACGTACACAATGTTTTTATGTATAAAAACGCATTGGATCGTCACGATGCACACACACAGACATGTAACAGCTCTTTACGTACTTGTAATTGTGTGAATGTGTGTGTGTGTCTCGCGATGCACAACAACAACAACAGCTGCTGCCACCACGGCGCTACTATACTGCATCTCTATGGTCCTCTTTCTCTCTTTCTTTCTCTCATTCTCGAGCCTTAGTTCGACACTGCAGTTGCTCGCTGCGTCTTTTTCGATCGCAGCAATGTTTGCAGCACATCTCTCGGTGCTGCACGATGACAACGAAGTCGTATTGCAGAATGTATATAATATTGCTATGCTCTCGTATACGTGAGAGCTCGTCTGTCGTCAGATGACGCTTCGCTACTCTGCCTATACCTCTCTATTTGTATTGTATGTGCATTATATGTATCGCTGTACATGTGCTCGTAAGCGTCCAGCGGCAAATTCGAATTCTCGGCAAGTCAGTCGGCCATTCGCCGATCGGCGCGCCGAGTTATAATACTTATCGCTTTTTATATATTTACTTGCACTTTCTCGTGCCAATCTCGCGTGGCTCGCGCGCGCGACTTTGAGACATCGACTCGAGAGCTCGGAGCGCAGAGTTATAATGGGGAAAAATTTCGCCGAGCGCGAGATCGAAAGTGCGAAGCCTCCCGTCTCTCTTTTCCAATAGCCCATTGATCTCTCTCTCTCTCTCTCTCTCGTCGAGCGAGCCAGACGAGACGAGATCGGCTCGTTTCGATCGACTTGCCTATACAGCGCGTGCATCTCTCGATCTCTTGTGCTTCTATAGTTGTATTATGGTTTTCACGTTGTGATAAAACTGCAGCGCTTTCGACGCGAGACACCTATACCTACCTATAGATTCGAGCTTTCTTAATCGATTGGAATATGTATTCGCGAAAACGAGTTGTATCGTACGATTCGTCGCTTTCGCTTACAATATTTTTTTTTTATACTAAATATCACGTTTATTTATAGAAATAAAATATATAAATTATATTTATAGGAAAACAATCGCATCGCAACTTTTTAATTCGAATACATATCAGCTGCGTGAATAAATATAAACAAGTCCGAGTTGTATAGCTTGTGTGCAGGCACGTGTTTGCGGACCGTCGATCGCGCACTGCAAAGGCATTTAATGTCAATAAGCGTATGTGCGCGCAGGTGTTTTGCTAAAATTTACATCGAACCGCTGGATAAAGAATAAAGAAACAAAAAAAAAAGATCGAACGTGTTTTCATGTGGCGCCCGCGCTTATTATTGCAGACCGCGAGTGCGTCATTATTTTTTTAGAAATGGACATATATCAATGATTAATGCTCCAATTGTACAAAGAGCCCCCGATACATTAATTGGATTGTGTGGACGAATCGAGCCTTTGTGCGCGCTAGATGAATTTTTCCATCCTTATAAGACGACTCGAGGTACACACGGATATATATGAATGTAGAAGGACGCGATCGGCGATTAAAAAAAAAATAAAAATACCTCATGGAAGTGGCTGCCGATCGCTCCGAACTCGAGCTGAAAAATTACATATATACGACAATTTTGTCACGTAATAATACGTGTGCGGCGCGAATTTTCCAACGCGTGAACGGAAAAAGAAACTCGAAATTATGATAACGAGGCTTCGTTACATCGAATGAAGTTGCTTTTTTCAATACGGTGCAGATCGAATTGGTATAATAGCGTGCGCAATGTGTGCTCGTGTATAGCGTGCAAGTATAGATCAGAAGTTGTTATACATAAAGGTGCACAGAGTGTAGCAGTAGGTATATATGAAAATGTCTTAGCAGAGTCTCACCATTGTGTGTGTATGTATGGTGGACGCGAAAAGAGCCGATGCCGCTGCTACTGCGCGTCTTGGGTTCCCCCGCAAAAGGTGAATCCCGCGCAGACCCTCGGGGTGGCCTCTTTAATTAATACACCAGCATGTGGACTGCAGCAGCAGCAAAAAAAAAAAAAGATGCCCTCCGATCGCCGAGTCAAAAAATTATATCGAGTATATAAAAACGTGGGTCCGACAGCGACTCGTGTGGCGCCCGGGGCCAAACATCGGCATTTATCTTCTCTCTCGCGTTCTATATATACTACTTAATAATAAATATATTGTATTACGGCACGTATGGTACTGCACTGCACCGCAGCCTCAGTAGGCGAGCGAGGCGATCGGACTCGTCGTCGTCGTCGAACGACTCGAGCGCTCCGTACGGACGCGACTCCCAACAGCAGCAGCAATAACAACAAAAGCAAAAGCAAAGACGACGACGGCGACGAAACACCTCGCGTATAGCAACATTTTCAGAGCGCAGCAGAGAGACGATCGAGCTGCGAGCGTCGCGGCTCGTAACTGCATAGCCGATCGCCGATTCCTCGACGCGCGGCGCCAACTCTACATACACACAGTTAAGTGTGTATGTACCGCCGAGAGTACACGTACGATATAGCGGAGGTGGGGGCTATATGGGTCTGCAGGCGACTGGTACTCGCGCGGCGCGGCTGCGATTCGTAATATTTTTGCGCATGCAGGAGAGCTGGTTTGAGAGAGAGAATTGCTACTTTCTCCGGGCGAGTTACGGTGGCCCAACGCATATACAACAACACACGGTGCAGCACATTGCAGTGAGAGTGAAACTTCCGCGAGACTGAAAGTTTCCACAGCGCCGGAGACCGGAGTCAACTCTTCTGCGCCTCTATACTCTTGCATTTCTCTCTCTCTCTCGTTTACATCTTTTCTTGTCTTTTTTGCTCGACGAGAGTCACCCGCGTTAAATATTTATTTATTTATATACATCGGAGACTCTCGCTTATGTATACTTATTAACGTGTCGCGAAAGGAAAGCGAGCTTTGGAATCCTCGAGAAAAGAAGCTACAAAAATATTTTTTCAATTTTCTTGCCACCTGAAATCACGCATATCTGCGAAACCACGCGTTTCCCAATTATTGCAGCATCAGTAAAAAAGAGTTTCCTCTATTTGGCAAACAAAACACGACGCAGCCAACGGTACCTGCTGCATAATACACACTCACATACAGCAGTATATAAGAATGGGACATTTTTTCTCTCTCTCTCTCTCTTTCGCGTTTCTAGCGACGTTTCTAATTACATCATTTCCTGGATTGTTACAATCACGGCGTACGCGCGTAAACCCATTTGTAAATTGTTTGCAAATAATATAACATGTAACGCCCGTTTTTATGTAACTTTTATATAGTAATAAGCGGATCATATCGTAATAGGTAATAATAGCAAATAGTCGAGCGAAAATTTCGTGCGACTCTTTGCTAACTTTTATAAATATAAAAAAATACGTCCGCGTATATTTACAGTTCGACGCGTTATATATGCGTTTACGATCTATCGCACTTTCCAATGCTATTTTTTTTTTTTATGTAATTTTTGTTTGATCGTAATATCGTGGCGAAGGTGGTGGTCTATGCACACACATACACACATAATGCGAAAACAATTCGATGCTTTTCAAATATTATCGCAGGCAACTTTTAAGATCATAACGTCGCTTCTCCGAACTGCTCAAGAAGATCGTTACTCGATTCGCAGATTTCTCCCAATTAAATTTTCGCCCGCTTTCAAATATCCATACAGCAGAGGCCACTTTCGTATAATTTTTCAAGAAGCCCTTCTCGAGCACGGACAGAAAGAACCGAAAAAATGAACGGTACACACATTTGAGCTCGTGCAAACCAGGTACAAGTGTACCCACGGGGCCGCCGCCGTCGCACTCGCGCGATGTAGCGAAAGAAAGACGGAGAGAGAGGTCCGCGATGAAAGTTTACGCGTGCAATAAACGGCGAGGAGAAAAGCAAAGCAAAAAAAAAAAAAAACGACGTGCACTCGGGGACCGAACCGGACCGGACCACCGCCGCTCATGCGCCACACTGCACTTCTCCGTCGTCGGTTGGCAGCAGCGCGCGAAGGGAGAGAGAGATAGAGAGTGAAATTGAAGCGCGATGCGATCATTCCAGCGCGTGTCCTCGTACTCGACGCATCGTTGATTGTCGCGCGCGCGTCGCCGTCTGTGATTTTCCCGACAAAAGTGTGAATTTTTTTTTTTTTAAAAGAAAAAGAAGACGATCGTATCATGGCCATCTCGTACACGACCGTCGAGGGCGACCTCAGCCAGAAGCTCGACAAGATGTTCGGCGTCAGGTACAGCTTTCTGCGGGTCAAGCCCGGCAACTGCCTGCTGCCGCCCCAGTACGTGTTCATCGGGCCGAGGATTCGCGATCTCGAGATACGCGAGAATGACATTTGGCTCGTCTCTTATCCCAGGACCGGTAGGTTCCTTTTTTTCATTTACTTATTTAGTGAGAAAAAAGGTTTCGAAAGCCACCAATGAAAATGTGTAAATCGCAACGATTGTTTTTTCCGTCTGTGCGTTACTTGGAACTTTTGTAAGACAGGCAATGTCGTAATCATACACTCACCTTACTTCGCCAGCCCATTTTATGCTTTTTCTCGGATGCACGGCCACTAAAAGCGAATAATAATTTTGAATTTTCGACGCTGCCTCTCGTTCTATCGTCACTTTTTCACTGCTCGCGCGCGCTAAGATCTCTCGGCAAGACTGAGCTCGCTACTCGGAGGCACACCTCAAACTAGCTCTAGGTCTCGGCTGCTGCTACTTAGGCGCGCGTGTATGGCTCATTGTGCCTCACAATGGCACATACAAGTACTTCCGCGGTCATTTGTATATTTTATTATTTCGAGGCTTTATCCGCGACGATAAATTTACGCGCAATATTCTACTGGAGGCTGTAGGTATAGCTATACGCAGTAGCGATAGATATGAAAATGTTTTTTGTTTGTGTTTCTTTCGCAGGAAGCCATTGGGTTTTGGAAATGGCCTGGCTGATCGGTAACAATCTCAATTACGAGGAGGCTCGAAAAACTCACTTCGCCATGCGGAGCCCACTGCTGGAGTAAATTTCCATCCTTTTTTTGATGTATTTACACAACTTTTAAAAAATCAATCTTCTACAGACTTTTTGTTCGATTTTTGACAGATCCTCGGCGTTGATGGTCAACGGATCGTTCGTCGAGTGGTTCGCCAAATTGGGCGAGTCCGTCGAGACGGTCGAAAAGTTGCCGAGTCCGCGATACGTCAAGAGCCATTTGCCGCTCGATTTGCTTCCAAAACAACTTCACGAGAAAAAACCAAAGGTATTTATATATATATCGCGTATGCGTCGCATACACACACACGCATACACGCGCTCTTGGTAAGATCGTGCATTAAACTCGATTACACTTTCACTTCTTCATTTTTTTTTTCCTTTTTACAATCTCGTTCGGTGCATATGTATATGAGATTTCGATTCATTATGAACCATAACTGTACCGAGACAAAAAATTTCCATAAGTATTTTTTGGAAAATTAATCGATCGACTTTTCTGCGTTTCATTTTTCAGATGATTTATATCGCGAGAAATCCTAAGGACATGTGCGTGAGCTTTTATCATTACTGCAGACTCTTTCACGATTTGACTTGCTCCTTCGACGATTTCGCCGAGCTCATGCTGGTTGACAACGGTAAGTCGAGTGATTTTTGATAAAATAGCATCAGAGGCATTAAAATTCATTGATCATTTTAGCACCGCCTGGACCATTTTGGAATCACGTTTTACCTTTCTGGGAACGTCGTCACCAGGATAACATACTCTTTCTCTTTTACGAGGATATGAAAAAGGTTCGTAGAATTTTCAAATAGAAAATAAATGTATTTACATTCAAACTACTTGAATTATCACATGCATGTCCATTCCAGGATCAAGAAGGAACGATACTGAAGACAGCCAAATTTCTGAAGAAAAAGCTCACCGACGAGCAGGTCAGCGAACTGAGCGACCACATATCGTTCCCGAAAATGGCCGCCAATCCGTCGGTCAATTACGAGCAGGTCCTGGCTCAGAAGAACGTCGCACCGGACGATCCGGACACGAAGTTCATCAGGAAGGGCAAAGTCGGCGATTGGCGCCACTACATGTCGGACGATCTGTCGCGCCGTTTCGACGAGTGGACCGAGCAAAATACCAAGGGCACCGGCTTGAAATTCATCACGGACGATTTGGAGGACTGAAGCAAAATCTTTATTATTATTATTATTTTTTTGTTAATTTTGTAATCTTTTGTTGCCATTCTCTTGTTACATTTTATACACTATTTATTTTATTTTATTAATTTTATCACATGTTTGCATTAAATTTACTTTTCTTATCATTAAAATCATAATTGTACTCGTTTAACTCAAGGTATCTCATACATATTATTCAAGTTCATAATTTTTTTTACCAAATATACGATCGATCAATATTATAAATCTGTAATTCAATTACCTCAATATTTCTTCCATTGAATACTTACGTTTGAATCAAATATTGTAAGAAGTAGAGAAACATGGTCTCTGAACGCGAAATTTTTAATTCAATATATTCTTTTACAAGATTGGCTGTTGAAATTTATACCAAAAACTCACTACAATGTTGAATATGTTTATATGTCAGTATTGAAGTCCTCTAGTAGTTTGAATCTGAATCAACAAAGTTGCCGATAAACGATTCCTATTTTATCGGTCTCAATAAACATTACTCACCCGAGTAGATTTACTTTCGAATTTTTATTAAAGGACATTAACCACGAATAACAATTGACGATGTTGCGGCGAATAATTTCATAGCTACATTCTTGTATTTTTTTTAATATTGACGAACAGTTTTTTTAACGAGTATTTAACATATCTTGATATTAATCAACTTTTCGTGACAACAATCAATGCATCTAAACCTTATCATCAGTTAATTAAATGACCAATGTGACATTATCTGTTTATTTTTATTGATGCATTTCAGTAGAAAATACTTTTTTAATCAGTCGAACTGCATCAGTGCATCGGTTTATTTCCAGAGCGGAAAAGGTTTTGCACGACGTAAAAAACGCGTTCGAAAAAGTATTTTTAAACGTTTTTAGTAAAATTTTTTATGTGCAACAATGAGGACTCCCCCGAAAATAATAGTAGTGTCGATTATCGTTACGATAATAGCAATTAATTCAGAATGGGCCGATGGCTTACGAATTTTGGGAATATTTCCTTTAAAAATGAAAAGCCACTTTGCCATGAACGAACAACTGATGAAAGGCTTAGCTGCCAAGGGTCATCAAGTCGACGTCTACAGTCATTTTCCTCTGGATAAACCGATTGAAAATTACCGAGAATTTACCATCGTGGATCCTTTGGTGGCAAATTTTACAAATAATCTGAATCGTGATTTATTAAATTCGTGGATGAGTTCGAATTTTATTCCAATTCGTGAAATAATGAATACCCTCGGAGAATCGAACTGTCAACAATTGGGTAGAAAAGAGTTTCAAAAACTCATCGAGACTTACAGGAATAAAAATTCAACCTACGACGTGATCGTCATGCAGGTAATAATTGGATAACTCGCAATAAAAAATTTTACTCAACTCCATACCGTCATTTTCCTTAGCCTTACGTGGCCGCATGTTTTTTGGCCTTCGGACGTTACTTGAACCTGCCAATTGTCACCGTCGAAACTCTGAGAATGACCGACTGGACTTACTCGAGCTTCGGTAGTCCTCATTATCCGGCGATAATGTCCAGTGCCTACGCTGGATTTTCAGCTCCAATGAGTTTTTGGGAGCGAGTGAAAAATTTCTTGATCACCAATTACATGCACTACGGTTTCTATTGGCTGGTCAAGAATCAAGACGAATACGTCAAACAGTACTTCGGAGACGATTATCCGTCGACGGGAGAATTACTGAAAGACGTGGACTTGATGCTGATCAATTACAACCAGATGTTGCACGGCGTAAGACCTTATACGCCTGCGATCGTGCCGGTTGGCGGGTTACACATAGATACCAGCGAGAGAAAACTCTCAGAGGTAATTATTCTTTTATTACATCATTTTTCAAAAAATAATTCCATTTAATAGGAAAAATATTTTGCTTAGAAAGTTCAAAAATTCCTCGATGACAGTGAAAATGGATTCGTGTACTTTTCGTTCGGCTCGATGGTCCGTATAGAAACTTTCCCAGAGCACATATTGAAAATATTTTACGACGCCTTTCGAAAAATCGCACCAATCCGTGTTCTGTGGAAGATAGCCAAACCCGAAGAATTACCAAGTGGACTTCCTGACAATGTTTTGACCGATACATGGCTACCACAGATGGAAGTTTTAAGTGGGTATTTTTAAATAACTAATTTTCTAATGTATAAAATAATTTTCTTATTCTTTACTTCTCGTAGAACACAAAAATATCAGAGCTTTTATAACCCACGGTGGTTTGATGGGAACTATGGAAGCCATTTACAACGCAGTACCAATGATCGGAGTTCCATTATTTGTTGATCAGTACGCAAATATGGATTTATATCAAAAAAGAAAAATTGCTGTATCTTTAGATTATTACAAAATAAATAATGAGAGTTTTATTCAAGCTCTTGAGGAAATTTTAGAAAATCCAAACTACAAGTTAGTAAAAGTCGCAATTCTTTTATTCGTTAATGAACTGATATTTTAATTATATTTCATTATATTTTATAGGAAAGAAATAGCAAAACTTAGTCAATCCTTCAGAGATACGCCAATGAGCCCATTGGACACCGCGGCATATTGGATCGAGTTCATAGCGAGAAATGGCAAAAAATCACTCAGATCACCCCTCGTCGACATGCCTTGGTGGCAGACTTCGATACTTGACGTTTATATGTTCGTAGCTGTTGTCATATTTTTGATAGTTAGTTTAGTAGCGATTATTGTTCAAAAATTTAAGCGTTTACTACTCAGATGTATGAATAAATCCAAAAAAATCAAAGTTAATTAAATGTAACGTTCTGAACATTGTGAAGTTATGGATGTTTTTTTGTTGTTGATCGTTTTAAAGATGTTATTAAGTACAATGTTAAAGAAAAGCTGAAACATTTTTATCTGTCGGTCTTCGTTGTACATTATTCTTTAAATACTCCAAGGATACTGATTAACTCAATTTTTATCTTTTCATTTTCTGTTTGAGAAAAAAAGACTTGCATGCATGCAAGTTTGTTCTCAGATGAAAGGCTCTCCTTGTAAGTTTTTTTTGGAGTTTTGTATACAATAATGATAACGGAATTCAAGAGTCGAAAATGAAATACGAATTTTCCCTTTCATAACCAAACCTTTTTATTTATACAATTTTTTTATGAGGAAGCTCTTTGCCAATAAATTGGCAGCGGTTTTTATACTTCAAACGATCGTGTGTTTATAAATAAAAAAATCTGAGCTCATTCTTTTAATTTTATTTATTTGAATATCATGTAAACAAAACAACATTTAATTACAACAAATAATATAAACTGCAAAAAGCTTATATTGACATCACGAGTTTTTGCCTGCAACCGCCAAGCAAATATTGCATAAATCCTTGTTCTTCAATGTATCGATGATCATCTCACAGATCTCCAAGGGAAGACGTTTGTGTATCAGCTCCCAGAAAGGATCCCGGGCCCAGCTTTGGAAAAATCCTCTCGATAGTTTCTCGCACAGATTTAATGCACTTAGTTCCCGATACTTGATGAACCACCGACAAAAATCGAAAGAGTAAGAAAATTTCCAGTAGTCCTCATACGTGAATAATTTCGCCGCCTCTTTGGGTTGCAGTCGTACAATTTCATCGAGAGACAGACTCGGACTTCCCCTTATTTCTTTTCCAGTTTTGTACGTCCACTCCTCGTCATATAGATAACTTTTTACATGCGATATACCCGGACGTATCTTAATTGTTTTTGCGGAATATGCGAAATCCTTTTTATCGTACCAAAATTTATCGAGATCTACTGAATTCTCGAACAATCCGTACTCGGCGAAAAATTTCATGATCGTCAAGGCGTCACTTCGCTTCAGTTGATATCCTCTATTCTCAATTTTTTCGACGACGACCAACGCGCCGGATGCTAGTCTCAATCTGCAATTGGACGTAAGTTTATTACTGGATTCATTATATCTTTCGGCGAAATAACTGTCGCTGGGAAATATGAAATTTGACAGATCAGCGCCACGTTCGAAGAGAATATCAATGCAATCTGGCCAGAGATTCGCCACGGCCAACTGCAGCGGTGTCCGGCCCAATTTGTCTCGAGCGTCGACCTGCACCGACTGGTTGACTTCGTCGCAGATCTTGAAAAATAGCTCCAATGCACCCTCGCGATCATAATTAATCTTTCTCATGTAAAATAGGTGCAAAGGTGTCGATCCCTCGTCGTTGGCCAATTTCGGATCGGCGCCTCTTCTCAGCAGAATTTCAGTAACATAAACATTGTCGTTGAGCACAGCCAAGTGCAATGGTGTATTACCGAATTTGTCACGAGCATCGATCCGCAACGGCTGTCGTTTTTCGTCGCTGATATCGAAAAATAATTTCGCCTCTGGAGGAAATTTGTATCCATTGCTTATAATGTGCAGTGGTGTCAATCCATTCTTGTTGGCCAAATTAAGATCCGAACTTTTTCTCAGCAGCGATGCGGCCATTTCCGTGTTCCTACCAATCAGATACAAGTGTAGTGGCGAATCTCCAGTTTCTGGCCAGAGGCAATTAGGATCTTGGCCGAGCTCGAGGAATTTCTTGACGGCGTCGTCCAAGCCATAAATGCAGGCCACATGGAAATGCGACAGTCCAGATTCGTCGGTGTAATTTACGTCGTATCGGTTGTAGATCTCAAATAGTTGACTGATTATTAAGTAACAATTTTGTTTAGCCGCATGATGAACCGGTGTAGTGCGACGCGACGATGGCTTGCCATCTCCATCGACTTCGGGCTCGTTCTTGTAGCCGCTGCGAGCCACGAAGTAGATGAACTTATGGAGTTCTTTTATATACTCTTTTTCTTTGTCAACCAAGTTAATGTAATCCATGACAAGACAGTCGATTTCTTCGGTACGAAAAACGTTTTGGATATTTAAAGTTTTGAATTTACTGTACCATGGTTGGATTGAAAGATAAACCTGATAAATAAATTTGCGTCGCTCTTCCATGACCCCCCAATTGACATTTTGTCGCAAACTCTTGAATATTTCTAATAGTATTTGATTGTCAAAACTTTTTGATAAAATGTCGGACATGTCTATTGCTCAACTCACTCAAACACAAATCACAATCATTTATAATTTTGGATATTTTTTGTTCTTTTTTTCATGACAATAACTAGCTACAATTGCTGCGATCTCGGCTTGTCGTTCACGCTGCGGCTGCGTAACGTGTACTGACTATACACACAGTATATGATCTCTAAAGAATTAAAAATTCAGCTTTATAGCGTGGCAGCGCTCTCTGGAAACGATTAGAAAGCTTAAGTCCAGCCTAGGGGAGGCCACCCGTGCATAAGACAATACGCTGCGTATAACTAGGCATATACGCAACGCCCCTACTTTGCTAGACTCGCACTACACAATCCTTACCGAATTCGATGACTCTTAATTCAGGCGACGGGTGGAGAAACTTAAAAGAAAGTAGAGACAATACAAAGAAGCTGCAACCAGCTGCTTCTACACATAACTCGACGTAGATCATCCAACGGCTCCTTTTTATAATAGAAAAGCAGAGAGTCTAACTTATAAAAAAGAGATGGACCTAAAAGTGAAGCCAATCTATTCGGCCTCTGATTGGTCGACTGACTTTTGACTCGAGTCGAAACGTAATAAAGTGACATCTACGGTCATAATAGCAAATTTTTCGAAACTGACTGAAAGATGTACGCGCGCGAAGCGCGCCTGAAAGTTGCTAACCTCAAAACACAAATAAAAAAATTGATATGCGCGGAGCGCGTCTTAAACGTCTAGTGTTTTAAATGTTGTATCAGTTACTGTTTTTTACTTGAAAATGAATTTCCGATTACACTATTCCAAATATTTTGTTATACAATTGCATAGAAATTTTTTTCTTCTTCACGATATAACTTTGAAAATAATCGATGAACCCTAATGATTCCGAAATCAAATTAAAGCTTAACTGCTTATTTTTCAAGATCATTGCCCAAAAATATAAACACACTTAACACTTGACTGAAAAAAATTTTGAAAATTAAAATTACATAAAAATCATAAAAATCGTTGTAACTTTTGAAAAATTAAACAGATTGATGAAAAACTTTGTCGGGCTTTTTTACATAATCGACAATAAATGTAGTTTATTTTAGTAGAATTTACAGTCCCGTTTTCGAGAAAACTCATTCTACGTACATACATCGGTTTGTCTCGCCACATGTGTATACATTTCAACGAGCCCGCTGCTGCTTCGCAGTATCTGGATACCGGCTGATTATACGCGCGTCGATGAGACGAGAAAACGTCTCTCGCTTGAATTTCGCTCTCGCTAACTCGCGTGCGATATAAGACGAGCGAGAGAGAAAGAGAGAAATACACCCGTGAATGCTACATCAATTCGCGCTAGAAAAACCATATCGCGCGCGTGTAAACTTATAGTTGAATTATAAATGCACACACGTGCGTACACGCGTACTTAAGCCACGCTGGCGAATCGTTGCACGAAGAGATAAAAAGAGAGTAGATGCGCTGCGTACTGCACAAAAGATGAATAATATGAGATGAATTTGCGCGGAAGATAGACGAATTAATGGGAAATTCGGAACGCGAACTACTGTGATAATATATTATAACTACGGCAATGGTATATTTTATCTGGATTCACGCATACACTCATCAATAGGGCAATACAAATGATTTCGCGCACGTGTAGCAGCTCGCGTCGAAAAAAAATAGTATATTTTGTAACAAGTGCGCGAAGCAGTTGACTCATCCAGGAGTTGTTTTCACCCGAGCGTAGCGAGGGTGCAAAGACTCCTGAGTGAGTCAACTTCCTCGCGGACTAGTTGCAAACGATATTTTTTAACTCTGCTTGCGAGAAACTAGGGTTTTCTGACGATTTAAGGTTAGAAAGCCCGTGTTTCGCGCACGCAGTGTTAAAAACAAACTTTACACGCGCGCGCAATTTTGCATTGTGTGTACAGCTTTGATATAAAACATTATGCGCCCAAGTGTGTGCATTATTCACGTACATACATCTAAAACTCGCGAGTAAGTGTATGTGTGTATATGTTTGCCCCATGTGCCGTGTAATTGGCAACATCGCTGAAAAAGCTAGTGGCGAGCCACAGCGTCATGCTGTGTTACGAGATGAACTCTAATATGCTTTGTTTACCCGTGGCCGAGCCAGCGTCTTACACGCGAGAGATGAGTACATCTCCCAACGCGCTTGCTTTCGAGATTATTCTACACGCATACGTATAAATTGATCTGTGTATTGTAGTAAGCCGTGTCACCGCTAGGTGGCACAGAGTAAAAGTGTGGTTCACGCGAATGAGTTGATCAAGTGTGTGAGTTAAATAGACCTAAGAAAGCTTGTATTTCTTGTATTCGTTCCGCGTTAATGAATCGCCAATACATTATTCAATCAATGAAAAAATTAAAACTGTTTTTATGCTGTAAGATGGTTTATTTGGAAATTTAAACAATTTTTAAATCTTAAATGTCATAAACACATTTTTTAATCCCCGAAATTTATAAGAAAATTTTTTAACCCCCGAAATTGATACGATTATTAAAAATGAAGTCTGGCTCTACCACATCGATCACTGGAGGAGGTTGGTTCCACACATGGTTGAATCCGTATAGTAATCCTTTATCATAAAAATTCCGTACAGTAGCTCTTTTAATTTACTTTTCTCGCAATCTGGTAATGGTCTTTTCTCCCGGACATTGTTTAAGAACTTTTTACATTGTTCTGCTTTTTCTGGAGCGTTATCTACCAGGTATTTCAATATATCTTGATATTCTTTTCTTTCTGATTGCCATTCAAATCGTTCTGTCAAATTTTCCAGAAGTTTTGTGTATTTCATGTAATCAAATAAGATCTGGTCACCAATTTTCGCGTCACATAGAGTGATAATCCCCACCGTTATTGCAGTATAACTAGAAAAATTGACTTGTTCTTCCTGTAATTTTATTAATGCCTGGAAAGTTTCTTTATCTTCTGCTACATATGTGACTAATATTTCATCATTTAAACCCTGATTTGAGTTTTCATCAAGCTTTTGCTTTTTTGAGCTGGTTGATGAAGTTCAAATGCTGCTTTTATCTCTTCCTGTGAAACTTCTGGAAATAGTTCTTGTAATTCTTCTTATGATTCAGCAACCATCACATGAACTTTCATTCTTTCCTTTTTATTTAATGTCGAAAGTTTTCGCTTTCTTGCTGTACATAAACACTCATCGATAACCAAGTAGTTAACCATCAGAGAGACCAATGAGGATGATGGATTTTGAATTTTAGAGAATGGACCTGGTTGTCCCAAGAAACTTAATAGTTTTAGTTTTTCTGTTAACTCAACACCATCAGAATGAGTAACTATTAAACCAAACACATGAACTTCTATTTTGTCATATTTGTTGTTATCATCGTCTGAATATTGTCCTGTAAGTGTCTTGAGCTGTCCTGTTACACACACATTTATAATTTTGACGTAGAGAAAACTACAGTAAAAACATGAGTCTATTTTTTTAATTTTTCAGTTACACAAGAAAAAATTGAAAACATTAACGTGTTTCTTCGCAGTAATTTTCTATATGTCGAAGTCACCCCTTTAAAAGTAATTCTTCTTATTCTTCTGTCTCTCTTACAAAAATTGTCCAATCTCATAGTAAAGAGTGCTCTTACCAACAGTGACTAAAGTCAGCTAAGTTTTTCAAATTTACTTTTTACGCAAAAGTGGCCAAATTATTCGAATTTACTCACATATTACGTAAGAAAAAAAATATTGAAATAAAAAATGTTTGGTACCTTAAGATTCGTTCAGAACTACAGTTCTTTGGTTTTTAATATGGTGAATTTATTTAAGAATTGTTGTTTTAACAAAGCATTATACTTTTTAATTGTGTTATTTAAAAAAAACTTTAATAAAAGCTTTTATTGCGTGTATGTTGATTAATAAAATTGAATTATGAATTTACTGTTGCAAATTTATACGTAATACGTTTTTTCTTTTATCAACCCTATTATTTCTTTCCTATATTATCTCTTCAAATTTGTATTCACAATTTACACATTTTTTACATATAAAGTACTCATTGTGTACACATAATTTGAACATTTTGTGTCCATAAATTTGCTTTCATTTTGTATGCATAATGTTCACATTATGTATCGTTTAAACATTCATAATTGCTGTCATAAACTGTTTAAAAAATGAATACTTAATGTATACATAATGTATACTTTCGAAACACTTAATGTACTCTTAAACATTTGCTGAATACATTATGAATACATATTTCATACATTTTCTGGGTAACATACCCTCGATGTGTGCTGTACATAGCAACAGATCGGCACTTGCTTATCTCGGAGTGAAATTTTTGCTCCATGTCTTGGTAAATTCGATGAATTACATCGTTCGAAGTGATTTTATGCGCGTGTAGCCGGATACTATACCTGCACGCGTTAATCTGCGCTCCGCTGTGTCTGCGGCGAGCTGTGTTCTCGATGATTTCCGGTTAGACGGTGACCATAATGTGAATTCTCATGAGCTGCATGCTTTAAACTTTTTTTTATCGAGTGAGCTGCAACAATTTCTTTCTATATACTGATGTGTGTATTGTAGTGAGCTGTGTCGCCGCTAGGTGGCACAGAGCGAAAGTGTTGTTAACGCGAATGAGTTGATCAAGTATGTGAGTTAAATAGAGCTAAGGCAGATCGCGCATAATACCCCACATGTCGCATCCTAGTGCCTTTTTGTCACCTAGTCCTGCTTCATCACATTCCTCCCCCAAGAACGACCATTGCCGGATGATAAGATCGGACGCCGTTAAGTCTTCGATACCGTTCAAGACTTTAACTATCTCCAATCTGCAGTCCATCGACGTTCGACTTTTATCGAGCCAGTTAGATAGCTGAACAATGTGCCCTTCGCTGCTCTTCCTTTCTTCCGAGCTTTTACCTTCGTAGGCAAATTTGTCGGTCAAGAAGTATCCGAGCAGCGAATGGTTTCTGCTGTGCCTCGAGAAGCCTGTATAAAAGTACGATGTAAATATTTCTAAATAGTGGTTAAAAAAGGTATATTGAATATATGTAGATTCTTATTTGCGTCGATGTTCGCGTACGCGTGAACGTACGCAACTTTCGGGTATTTTCTCGGGCTTTTGGAGCCATGGAAGAAGCCAGCTTGTCTTAGAAAATAATTATTCTCCCTGACAAACTGATTCCCCAATACCTTGGACACATTGTCATAATTAAGCACTACGTGCGATCCCTTCGGAGCCTTGATCGTGCAACCATAGTGGATTTGAATCGACACAATCGATTTCGGCTTGCTGATGAGACAGCCTCGCAACTTAATGAGTCCATCCTCGACATTGCCCTTGCTACCATGTATGGCTTTGTAGAACATGATTTCCTGTAAATACTGTGCGTTGTCCGCCAGATACTGCTTAGTCAGTACTTTGAGAGTTGTGAAGTACTCTTTGAATTCGTTTTTATAAATCTGAAAAAAATGTTGATTCCAATGCCGATAAGTAATGTACACATCGTTAAGTGATCATTAGTATTTTTTTTACGGTCAAAATGTCATCATTGCTTCTCTTGTAGGTCGTGGTGCTGGGGTCCATCAATTTGGCAGCCTTGCGGATAAGGTTACTGTAACTTGCTGCTAGTTTGAAACCTTTGAAATTTGCCTGTCGCATTCCAAAAAGGACATGGATCGTATCGTCTCCAAAATCAAAGAGGCTCCAATCCACCCAATTTTGCACCTTCCGGAATTTTCTGAAATTATTAAAAGTACGGGTTATTGAAAGAAATCCGAGATATTTTATGATTAATATTTTTTTCCATTATTTACTGGGGTAGTTCTATCAACATTTTTCTATTTTGCACCCATTGCCATAAATTAATGTCATCAGTTATTGTAATATCATTAGTTAATTTGAAGATCAACTCAAGCTTACAATCACTGACGAGGTGACTCTAGTTTGAGTTTAGATAAAAAGTATCCAACTAGAAAGTCTCAGAATTGTCCAAAGATTATCCTCAAATTCATAATTCGGATCGAAACAGGCATATTTTTGTAAATGTGCAATTTTTTCATGGTAAATTTTTTATGTACGCATTTTTAAATGTCACCGTTGTAAAGAACCTCGTAACCATTGTGTACAGTGACTTTCATAATTTTTCTCGTTTCGATTTGTTCAAACTGTTTATGTCCCGAGACTCCCGAGCATGTGGTGGAGAGCCTGCTTCTACATTATGGCGTTACTTCGCTCTCTGACGCGCGAACGCGCCTTGCGCATGTAATCGCCAACCATTGTAGAGGGTGCCTCGCTCGTGCGCCGAAGCCGCGCAGCTGTCGTCTGGCTGTACTAGTGTACTGTGCGCGGCTAGGCTAGAGAAGTGGTTGGCACAGCAGTTCAGTGTAGGCCACGACGCCGCCGAGTAAGCAGCAGCGCGTAACATTGCGTCGAGTTGTGCAAGTGTTTGAAGTGACTATATAGTGAGAGTTGTTCGTACGTATATAGTTGGCGTTTATACGACGTCCAAAAGTTTGAGCGTGCCGTGCAATGGAGTGCGACGAAGAATGCATCGATATCATGGATCTTGTTGATATCCTTGACGAGAGTGATTCGAGCGACGGTGACAGAGACTACGAATGCGCACCCGAAGAAGACTTCGAAGAGGATTATTACAGTGAATTGAAGTTCATGCGTGGAAAGGTCAATTGGGACGACGAGGGAAATCGAGCGCAATTTTTCCTGCGACTTCGTCGGTTGATCGTGCACCTGGGCCTGGAGTGTCCGCTTCCGGATCTCCGTGAGATTTTACGGCCCGCGGAAATCGAATGGCTTCTCGCGCAGGACGTGGAGTGGTCGGAGCGCCTCGGCCCGAACGACTACCGCTACTCCGTCATCGAATTCGTGGCCAAGACCGGCTACAAGGATATACCCGAAGCGGCCGATGACGACGGCAGGACATCGTCGAGTCGCACCACGGTGGTGCATCTAATGGCCGAAAGCATGTCCTATCGCGCGGACAAAACGGCGTTGTGCGAGCTCTTCGAAATTTACGACCGGTACGACGTGAATTACCGCGACGACGACGGTTACACGCATTTCCACGTGGCCTGCCTGGCGGGATGCGCCGACGTCGTCGAGAAATTCCTCGAGCTCGGCCGGGTGGATCCCAACGAGCTCGTGCCCAAGACCGGCGACTCGCCGCTGTACGCGGCTCTGACGCGGCGCCACAGGGACGTGGTCGAGCTGCTGCTGAGAGCCGGCGCCGATCCGAACGTCGTCCACGCCACGCACGGAAGGACGCCTCTGCACAGGATCGTCGACCTGAAAAATCCACATATGAAGATCGATTTTCTCGAGATGTTCTTCGCGATCTGCCGCGAGAAAGGACAGAGCGTGAAGATCGACGCGCTGGACGCCAAGGGCCTGTCACCGCTGCACTTCGCCCTGACATGGCGCCGCCACGCGAGGACGAGCGAGGTGCTGGCAACGCTGGTGGCCAACGGCGCCGATCCGAATCTGCCCGGTCCCGCGGGAAAGACACCGCTTCACATGATCTGCAGCAACTGGGACGACGCGGATCACTTGGTCGAGGCGCTGTTCGAGGCCTGCGACAAGAAGCGAGCAGAGGTGCTCGTCGACGCCCTGGACGCCGAGGGCCGGACACCGCTGCATCTGGCTCTGAGCCTCGGCGAGAAGAAGGTGGCGAGCGCCCTGCTGAAGCGGGGCGCCGATCCCAACCTGGAGAACGACCACGGCGAGACGGCTCTGCACGTGGTCTGCGCCGACTACCTCGAGTGCGACACGGAGGCCTTGCTGTTCGAGCTCCTCGTCGCGAGCAAGATACGCAACGTGAACGCCGCCACGAGGTTGGGCAAGACGCCGCTGCACGTGGCGCTGGCGGCCGGCCACCGGCACATCGTTCGCGCGCTCCTGATACACGGGGCCGATCCCAACCAGGCCGACGGCGAGGGATCGACGCCGCTTCACATGGTCTGCCAGATGAAAGTCGAGCACGAGTTGACGGCGATGCTGTTCGAGCACTGCGAGCCCGGCTATCTGCCGGTGCAGGTCGACGCCCGGGACAGTCACGGTTGGACGCCGCTGCACTGGGCCGTCTACCTGGGCCACCGGAACTCCGTCCGCGAGCTGCTGGGCTACGGGGCCGATCCGAATCTGGCCGACCACCAGGGATCGACGACTCTGCACGTGTTGTGCCAGCGACCGAACATCGACGAGTTCGCGCAGTGGTTCTTCGAGAAGTGCGCCGCGCAAGAGCAGGCGCTTCGCGTGGACGCCCGCGACGAGCTGGGCAATACTCCGCTGCACTACGCCGTGGCCGACACCTGCCAGACGCAGATCACCCGACTGCTGCTGGAGGCGAGAGCCGATCCGAATCTGGCCAACAACGAGGGATCGATGCCTCTGCACAACATCTGCAAGAGGAAGCAGTATCAGGACGACGATAGCTTGACGCAGCTGTTCTTCAAAGTCAACCGCAGCGTCCAGCGGCAGTTGCTGATCGACGCGCGGGACCATTCGGGCCGAACGCCGTTGGAACTGGCCGTGGCGAATCATTTGCCCCACGCGGTCGAGGTGCTCGTGGCGAACGGAGCCGACGTGTCGAGCTTCGTTTTTCCCACCGAGGCCTTCGTCGCCAAGTACGATCGGACGCAGGGCCTGTGCTACGACGTGACGACGATCAAGTCTCTGAGATCCATCGGCCATCTCGGGAGATTGCACTACTTGGACCCGAGCGACGGCCTGAGGATCGTGGGTCTGTTCGCCGAGCACGGACTGCTCGACGAGTCGGACGAACTCGAACGATGCTTGGACGAAGACGAGGACTTCGCGAACAGAGCGAGGGCCATCATGATCAATTCGGACCTGTCGCTCCACGACCTGATCCGGCTGCCGCGTGGAAAGGCGGCGAGAGGATTCACGTACGAGGACTACTGCGCGTTCGCGAACTCGATTGGCTGGGGCAATTGTCCCGCGATATATCGCGAGGCCTGCGACACGTTTCTGTGCCAGTCGATGGCCAGAAGATACTTCCAGCGATGGGCTTCGCAATATTTGATGTTGCTGATTCATTCGCGCTTGCCGCTTCTCTGCTGCGATTTGATCGCCGAGCATCTGGACTTGACGGACGTTTGGTCCATTTGCCAGGCGGCCGATAATATGAATCGATCGTGATCGCGAAGAGCTCTTCGAAATGACTGAATTTACCAGTGAGCGTTAATAACTAAATAAAGCTGTTGTAAATATTTTATAAAGCGTTTTATAAAGTATTGTAAATATTTCGGTGAAATAGGTGTTAATATTTTTATGTGATTTAGGTAAAAATAAATATTGAAATTATGTACAAAATTTACATAGAATTCATTGTAATTAATAATGAAAAATGTTTGTATAATAAATTTATAACGACTGATAGCATTTAATATTATCATTATTGTTTATTTATTTTCATCCTTTGCATGTATAAAAAATAAATAGAGATGCATCAGAACCCGAACGCAGATTCAAATGTTTGAGAATGGCAATAGTTACTATATACTAAAAATAAAGTTTAGCTTACATTATTAAATTTTAAATGTTTAAATGTTAATTAAACGTTCATGATTTAAATGTTCATGATTTGATGATATCATTAAATTGAAATGATAAAAATTAGCCTTTGACGGAATTGGAAAGCTTCTTAAATATCACCTACAGGATTTATCAAGAGTGAGAGTCGATCCTATGTTGCTTGCTGAAAATGCAATTATAAAATAATTGATTCAATTCAATACGCGAGATTTCTGTTCCAATAATTGCAAAAATTTCGGTCATTGACAGAAAAATGTGATGATTCGTAAATAGTTAATTTGTATCAATTACAAGAAAAGAGCATAGGCCATAGAGCCATGCTCGCCATGTTGTTTACGTCGCATTCGTTCGTCTCCGAATTGTCCGCTGCGGCACTTTGGGGCACGTGCATGCCACAGCGTGCATCAGTACACGTCAACACGGAGAGCAGCCCGCAAAGCTGATCGAGTCTAAACTGGCTCTTTTCGTGCAAAGACGCAGTTTTTCGAAATACAACGAGCACACTCTTCGACAGTTTTTCCACGTAATTAGCTGAATCATCTCAGAAAGATTGATTGTTCCACGAAATTTACCGAATTTCAACATGAGAAAGATGGAATCTAGTGGTTTATTCAGCTCCGCCATCAGGTAACTTTCATTTTATGAGAACGAAATTATAAAAATATTATTCCAGAATACTGGATCTTATTGAGGTTATAATTTCAGAGTGAAGGACGAGCCTAGTGATGCGCTGCTTAGTGAAAATGATAGTGAAATGATCGACGAAAAACCCGATCTTAAAAATTTACAATCCTTATCATTTCATCAAGAAAATCCTGTAAGTGTTGATATTTATATGTATCTATTATTGTATTCTCATGGAAATGCTCACACAGCTTTTATTTTTCAACAGACCCATACACTTCCAAAATGTGACATTAAACTTGAAAGTGAGCTTGATGAGAAAGTGGAAATAGTCGTTGAATGTGAAGATGTCAAACCCAATTGGAATTCATTATCAGATAAGAAAATGAAAAATTATTTTTCAAATCATTTGCGGAATGTAAAAGATAATAACGATGTTTACAAAAATCAAAACACAATTAAAGTAGAAATTGGCAAGGAAGTCAAACAAGAATTTTTTGGTGACACTGCAGAAGAATCGAATTCGGATTTTGATAGTGAACTTGACAAGAAAAATAAAAAAGGAAACGGTACCAAACAATCAGTGAATGGTAGTAACGGCCATGATAGTGATAAACATGGAAAAACATTTTCACGAAAAGATGTTCTGAAACGCCACATCGTTTCAATGCATAGTAAAATCACTCACACATGCGATATATGCGGGTCCAAATTCACACTTAGAACTTCTCTCAAAAAACACATCGATACGATGCATAATGGAATAAGAAGTGCATGTGATATTTGCGGAAATAAATTTACAAAAAAAGCTAGTCTCAAAATTCATATCGACTCAATTCACAATGGTGTCAGACATGCATGTGATATTTGCGGAAATAAATTTACAAACAAGAGTAATCTCAAAAAGCACATTGATGCGAAGCACGATGGTGTCAAACATGCATGTGATATTTGCGGAAAGAAGTTCTCAGGTAAAAGGAATATTAGAAGGCACATTGATATGATGCACAACGGTATCAAACATGCATGTGATATTTGCGGAAATAAATTTACAAAAAAGGGTAGTCTCAAAATTCATATCGACTCAATTCACAATGGTGTCAGACATGCATGTGATATTTGCGGTAATAAATTTACAGAAAAGGGTAGTCTCAAAATGCATATGAATGCGATTCACAATGGTGTCAAACATGCATGTGATATTTGCGGAAAGAAGTTCTCAGATAAAAGTAATGCCAAAAGGCACATTGATACGATGCACAATGGGGCCGCACATGCATGTAAAATATGTCGAAAGACATTCACACAAAAGTTTAATCTCAAAAAACACATCGATGCGATACACAATGATGTCACACATGCATGTGATATTTGCGGAAAGAAGTTCTCAGATAAAAGGAATATTAAAAGGCACATTGATACGATGCACAATGGTGTCACACATAAGTGCGATATGTGCGGACAGTTATTCACTGGAGAGAGTCGTCTCAAAACCCACCTTGAATCAGTTCATCACTCACGTTTTAAAACTCAAGGAGCAAACAATTGAATAGATATGTTCGAAAAATTAATTTAAAATTTCTCTTTCAAAATAATGTTAAGACTTCTTCAAATGTTATCTCATCATGTAAAAATAATTTTAAGGCATAAGAAAAATCACTACGTTCTTTAAAGGAAATTAAGCAAATTATTAATTGTAAGCCTTGAAACTGTAAAACCCTATTGATATTTGATTTTTATTGTTAGTCACATGAATTTTAGTCATCATTATTCAATAAAGTTTTTCATATCAATCTAATTTTTAGAAAAATTGTTTTTTTTTATCATATATTTCCAAAATTATTCGAATTTACATCTTTTCAAAATGAATCTTGTTTCTTATCGATTTTCAATACAAAATTATTGAAATTGTTAATTTTATCGTTAAGCACCGAGAGTTAATCTATCGATGTTTTCCTAAGATACTGATTTGCAATGTAATTGATAAATATTGTTAAATTATCTTTTCATTCAGGGACCAACTGAAGGCAGTGGCTACTTTGTATAAAACAATTTCATTACAATAAAATCATAAGTAGTGTCACTTTGGACGTCTCAAAATAAATTAACGAAATCAGGCCTTTTTTAAAGGATTGTTTCGCGATCAAATGTTCGTAAAATCGGGAAAATGTGCGTCGTTGATTCTAGTGCATTTATACATAATTTTAAGTGCAAACCCAATCGATGGTCTACGAATACTGGGAATATTTCCGCAAACGTTCCGCAGCCATTTCACCATGAACGAGCGTTTGATGAGAGGATTGGCTGCCAGAGGTCATCGGGTGGACGTTTACAGCCACTATCCGTTGAAGGAACCGATGGAAAATTACACCGATCACAGCATTCGGACGCCCAACATCACGACCTATCTGAATAATTTGCATTACGAGAGGTTGCTGAAGTGGCTGGGCATCGTGGACATGAGTCTGGTTCTGTCGCAGCTCGGCGATCCGGTGTGCGAACTGATGGAGCAGCCGGTTCTCAAAAAGCTCATCGACGATCCACCGAACGATCCTCCTTACGACGTAGTTATCACACAGGTATGCATTTCGATCCGTTGGACTTACGCAATCGCAAAATTTTCCAAATTTTAATATTTTCCAGCCGTACACGGCCAGCTGCTATTTGGCCTTCGGCAGGCGTTTAAATATTCCTCTGGTTACCGTAGAAACTTTGAGCACGACCGATTGGACGTACGCTAGCATGGGAAATCCGCGTAATTTGGCGATCGTACCGAGCGTTTACGGTGGACAAGCCAGTCCTATGTCGTTCGCAGAGAGGCTGAAAAATTTTTTCATGACTTGTTACGTCGAGTATGGATATTATTATTTCGTAAGAAATCAGAATGCTTTGGTCAAGAAGTACTTTGGCGAGGATTATCCCCCGGTAAGCGAGCTGATAAAAGATGTTGATTTGATGCTGATCAATTACAATCACATGCTCAACGGAATTAAACCCTTGACCCCCGCGATAGTACCCGTTGGTGGTCTACATATAGCGGAAACCAACAATAAATTATCCGAGGTTTGGAAAAGTACCATAACACGTAGAAATGTTGTGTAGTTTTTTGAATTATGATATTTTCGATGTTATAGCGAACTCAAAAATTCTTGGATGAGAGCGAAAATGGATTCGTGTACTTTTCGTTCGGCTCGATGGTTCGCATCGAAACTTTCCCAAAACCCATGCTAGAGATGTTTTACAATGCCTTCCGGAAAATTGCACCAACTCGGGTTTTGTGGAAGATTGTCAAACCCGAAGAATTACCAACTGGTCTTCCGGATAATGTTTTGACAGAAACTTGGTTACCACAGATGGAAGTTTTAAGTGCGTACATTTAAATAATTAATTTTTTGATTGATAAAATAATTATCTTATCCTCCATTACAACACGCAGAACACAGAAACATCAGAGCTTTTATAACCCACGGTGGTTTGATGGGAACTATGGAAGCCATTTACAACGCAGTGCCAATGATCGGATTTCCCCTATTCTCAGACCAGTACATGAATGTGGATCTGTACAAGAAGAAAGGAGTAGCCATCAAACTCGAATGGTCAAACATAACAAGGGAGTCCTTTGAATTTGCTCTTTTCGAAGTACTAAATAATCCCCTTTACAAGTGAGTTGATTTAAATAACCTGCTTGAATACTTTAACACACTCATTGTGTCCAGTTTATTCGCTGTGATTCTAAACTCGCGACGATTAAAGAAAATATTTATTTATGGTCTTACAGAAAGGAAGCAAAAAAATTGAGTCTATCCTTCAGAGATACGCCAATGAGCCCAATGGACACCGCGGCATATTGGATCGAGTTCGTCGCAAGAAATGGCAAAAAATCGCTCAGATCACCCCTCGTGGATATGCCCTGGTGGCAAGCGTCGCTGCTCGATGTTTACGCAGCGTTTTTGGTCGTTACGATCGTGGCTTTGTATACGGTCAAAATAATTGCGCGGTTATTGATTATTCTCATGACTAAAGTTAAGAGCTATTTCAATAAAACGAAAAGAGATTAATTTAGTTTCAAGTATATAATTAAATTTTCCAATTGAAAAAGTTTGAGGCATAGTACACCACAAAGAGTCCATTGTGTAAATATCTGTGGTGGAAAGGCATAACGACTTAAGTCCATTTTTCGTGTTTTTGAGAAAAACGCGTTTTAAGTTGATTGTGCCAGCCTAACTAAACGCGGACGAGTCGAGATCTGAACCTATGATGTTTTAAGCTACTATGAGGTAACTTTTGAACTATGTACTTATGAAATTGAAAGGCGCATCATAGCGATGATAGGGAGCAAAAAATATGGACTTAAGTCGTTTTGCCTTTCCACGGTTTGCACTTAAGTCCACTTTTGGCGGTCACACTTTTTTCAATATCAATAATTTCGCGCAGTTTGTGATCAAAACCTCATGTAATGATTTTTCATTGATAAAATAGCTCATTTAACGTTATACTGCCGTCAGATCTCGAATCTTGCAACGAAAAAAGGCCAAACTGAAAATCGAGAAAATTGCCCCTCGCGTATCATATGTAACAATCATATAGCGTAATTCACAACATTCGAAGAGTGTGGAGCTATGTTTAACATTCTAATATCATTTTCTTTCATTTTCAAATAAAATTAGACTCTCTATAGCATTTTGAAACTCGCAAGGGTGGACTTAAGTCGTTTTGCCTTTCCCCAGTTTTCGCGAAATGGACTTAAGTCGTTATGCACGATGCTGCAACTAACGCTATACGCTATATTCGCCTATTCTGACCCTTGTACATTAAAATAGACACTAAATATAGACGTTTTTCATCATAAAATCGATTTTCAAAAAAATGGACTTAAGTCGTTATGCCTTTCCACCACAGATATCTAATTGATTACTTTTTGACTCTCCTACAATTATTTTTATTAATTTTCAATTTTAACTGATCAACAAGCTTAAACTATCTTGATTTTATTATTCGTACTTGTCATGTGATAGTGAGCTGATTACGTGTTTGGCATATAACATTTCAGGCGCATTTCAATCGAATAGAAAATATCTGTGAGAGTGAATGAATATTTGGTATTTATAGATAAAACGATGAGAAAATATGAATGGATAATAGGAAAAAATGTAAATAGAATGATGAGGCATATAACTTTCACGGCTACGAACGACGATTGAGTTGTCACCTAGGTGTGATTGAAAAAATCCATTATCCTAATCCGTCTAAAGTCACGCGTCGACGTGAAAAATCGGCACGAGTTCCCTCAGATACTGCGGTATTTAGCTATTAAAAAAATTGCACATTCACGCGTTACACAGCTGCTCGATCGAAGACCGTATCTGCATTATTCAAGCATAGAAATTAAATTCTTTTCACGAGTATACATCGTCCATACAATCGTGGATTAGTCGCATTACGAAATAGCATCGGCAAGTCAGCTACTCGTCGTGATGGATCTGATGTAAATGGCCCCAGCCTGTAATCTATCATGTCGCGTGCACTACGTGTGTGTGCGGTCGATTCCAAATATATTATATTACATATTATGAGCTAAAAGCAGCATCGTATAATCTCGAAGCATATCTTTGTTACAAAAATGGTGTATATGGAGTCAACAACAAGAGCAGCACGACAACAAAACGCCGCGTGAGTCTGTCTGCAAGTGTACTATGTGTGTGTGTGTGTGTATGACAACCCAACGAGCTCACACTCACACACGCGAAGCTCTCGTATATTACAGCTACTGCTATATTATTAAATCATATATATAGCACACGCAGCGCAGAAGGCGGCAACGAGTAACGACGACGGGCTATATACAATAATACTACGAGTTTTACTACGTGACTGCTGTTATGTATAGTGTGCGTATGTGTGTGTGCGCGAGCTCGACCCAACTCTCGCCGAAAGAGACTCCGAAATTACAACGCGTCAACTGCCTCGATGTGTTGTCGTTATAGTAGTATACAGCAGCAGCATGGGTATGGGGAACAAAGACGGAGCTATGCAAGGCAGCGCGGCATCTCGCAGTAGCAGAGAGTCCTAAATGCATTAGTGCGCGAATGCGGAGAGATGCACACACACACACACATACAGGCACGATGTATAGACACACACCGACGCGAGCCGCCGCCGCCGCCGCCGCCGCTGCCGAATATATAACAATCTTATAGTATACGTGTGTAGTGTAGCGGCTTGTAGTATCGGCGTAGTATACCTATTAGCCGCCGCCGCAGCCGCCGCGTGAATTGCGAATCGTGTGTATATGCGATTGCACCTATACTCGGTACTGCGCGTACACAAACACGACTACGACGAGTTACCCACGTACCTATACACACCCGTGTTTACGTGTAGTGCGACTAGTGTACTTGCTGTAGTCGCCGCCAGTACTCACTACTACTCTACTCTGCTGTAGCCGCCGCTGCCGCCGCTGCTGCTGCATGCATGCGTCGTCGCGCGAATCTCCGCCGCCGCCGCAGCCGCGTATCGCGTCGCCCGCAGCCCGTGCTCCGCTGCTGCTTACTATATACCCGTATCGTTTACAATTTGGAGTGCCAAGTGTGTTGTAGTAGTAGTAGTGCCGTTGTGCTGGGTGCTGTGTGTACATAATAATACGCCGACTCCGAGTCGCGTATATTTAAGCAGTGCGTGCGTGCGTGCGTGCGTGTGTTTTTTCGTGCGTGCATCGATAATAAGATGGCGACTTGTTTCAAAAGGTCGTCGTCGAGCGACAACAGAAGCAACAACAAGTCGTCGTCGTCCTCCTCGTCGACCAGCACCGCCACGAGCAGCAAAATTGCATCAGCAATCCATCAGCAGCATCAAGCCGCTGGCGATGCGGAAGCAGCGGCCGTCGCTGCGGCCGCCTACGCAGCGGCCACCAACGAGGCCCGTCTCGTCGTCGAGCTCGTCTGTCCCGTGTGCCAGGGTCTGCTGCGCGAGCCGGTCAGTCTGCCCTGCGGCCACAATCTCTGTCTGGCCTGTCTCAGGGCCAGCGTCGAGCACAGCAGCCTGAACTGTCCGCTGTGCAGGCAGCGCCTCGGCTCCTGGTTCCGCTCCACCACCAAGTCCAGCGACACGAACCTCGTCAATCACGACCTGTGGCGGCTGATACGCGACACCTATCCGCCCGCCGTCGTCGATCCGCACGACCTCGTGCATCATCGCAATCATCTTCCCCAGGTGGTGGATCATCATCGTCATCGTCAACATCTGCACCGCGTGATTCCGTCTGTGCCTGGTGAGTGTTTATCTCTCGTCTCTCTCTTTCTCTGTCTCTGGCGTTTATGTTTACATCTCGTGTCAATCGATAGGTTCTATGTACACAAACACGCTCGCGAGCACAGCCGACGCGCGGCTATATAGCTTGTGCGTGTATAATAGGCATAGTATTTGGTATACCCTTTCCCCGCGCCGCAGCCTCTCTTACTATACTCACGCGCGCCTAGTAGTAGAGCGCATAATATTCGCGCTCTTCTTCGGACTGCGTGTGCCTCTCTGTCCTATGCGCCCACCCGCGCACCATGTATGCAGATATAATAATGCCAATTGCACAGTGCGAAAGACCCGAGGTTATGTTTGCGCTTTTCGCTGCTGCTGCTGCAGAGGGCTTTCACTGTTGCCATCGAATCTAGCCGTCAAACATGATCCACTTTCGATGTTTACGAGACAGCCGATGTTTTGTTTTCGCAGCAAGTGACTTGTGCTCGTTGCTCCGCTTTGAACATCAAACGCACTATGATTTTTTATGCTCCAAGCTGTCGACGCATTTCAACCAATTTTTCAAGCATTTGCTTCTATTTTGTCCCGTACGAGAACTCTCGGTTTGTTTTTATTTTTTTTTTTTTTTTTTATGATATTATTGTATTAATACTTGAGATTTTTATCTAATGTTTCTATGATTTCTAAAATAAAAATACTCATAACAATAATTTTGTACTTCTAGATCTTAAATCAAAAAAAATCAGTGCATCTGGTGAAATTAGAAAGGAATATGAAGTCAAACTTCAGCAGGCCAAAGAGCGAATGAGACAGCAGGATGAAATTGAACGTTTGGCTAGCGAGGCACTTATGCGACAGATATACAACGAAGAAGAACAGAAAAAATTACTTCAACTTGCTAAAGATCAACTTTTAGCGAGAACACTAGCAAATGAAGACATGTACGAAAGAAAGAGGCCAGAAAGGACTGCAAAAACAATAGCTATAGCAAATGTTGAGCAGTCCAAATCAAATGTCGGTCAAAGAAATTCAACCAGTAATCATAAAATGTCGCTGAAAGCTTTTGATATAAAGAATAAATGTGTCCCTCTCAGTGTTAAGACTAATAAACTTTTGTCAAGTGTAAAAACAGTCAAAACCCAAAAAGAACCAGTGCCAATTCAAAATGTTGTTACCAGAGTTGTAACTCATCAATCTCGTGTTAACCAACCAATTAACCAATTAAGCTGTCCAACTGTGGTAAGACGCGTTGCTCAATTATTACTTTTTAATACTTTTTTCAAAGTCTTTACATTTCAACATACATTTTCTAGGGAGAATTTATCAACTCCTCCAAAATATACGGACTTCAAAGTAAAGAAGAATTACAAGTACCAAATGACATAATTAACTCTAAAAAGAAAAAATTAGGAGTTGAAATTGTTACAACAGAAGAAAGTAAAGAAAGGATAGGTAGTGCTGAAAGTGCTGGAAGTCATGATAGTATAAACCAAGAAATTCATCATTTCAAACCAATAAGAGCGTTGCCTCGCACACCATTAAAACATGCGTCTGGTGAGAAATTACAATATATATATTTTTAATGTAGATTGGATTTATTTAATTTCAATCTGTTCATGTCAATTTATATGATTGAAGTTTCAAAATATTGTATTCAAAAGCTACTTTTTTAATGTTAAAGATGGACGTCAAATCGAGCCAAAGTTGATAAGAGTTATACCTATCACAAAACGAAAATCTTCGGCTGTTCCAAAACCTCCAATGCTTAACAGACAAAAAAAAGGACTTGGATGTTCTTGGAGTGCTTTTACACGTAAATATAATACTTATTTATCATTTCTTAAATGTTTAATTAAAAGGTATACTCAAAAATTAGTTACAAGTCAATGCATATTTATATGTGACATTATCTCTGATTTTGAAAAATACAATTCAAAAGATAATTCATTAGTAAAATGTAGGAAAATTGAAAAACCGAATGAAAAAGCTAAAATTTCATAGCTGCAATTAGAGTTGATTAATGATGACTGCTTAACGCTGTTTAAATGCACATAAGCAGTTTTGATTCAAGTTATATTGTTGGTCTATGTTCTCTGAAAATATTATCTGATTTCGAAGTAAATTGATTGTGTATAATAAATTATTATTGTTTAGTCATCTGAACAATACTATATTAGTATAAAATTTATTAGTATTTGTAACCTTGTAATAGTGATTTATCATCAAATAGAGAAGGGGTATTATTTTTGAGTTCCATCTAAATATTATTGACTGTGTAACTTGGTTTAAGTCTGTTTGAATTTGAAATTCGTTATGAGTGTTCATCAGTAAAATCTCGGTGCTCAATTGAAACAAATATAATTGGACATATTTTGACCATTAAGTATTTTTTACTTATAGAAATAAATTTAACGAAAGCCGTATCTGTTACCGTTGATTTATAACTTTATAAATAGATCGTTTTTGATCAATTTAAGAAGATGCTAAAAGCAAGGTAAAAATAAACATGATCTAAAGCATATCACTTTAACTAATGTTTTTCAAAATATTCAATACTATTGATATCTGTTTGTATCAATGTAGTGTCAGTTTGCTGGTACATTTACGAAAATTGTCAGGTTCATTTGATACTCGTTGAATGGCTTATTGTAACAATTAAAATTTTGGTTTCCAGGTGTGACAAAGGAACAGGTGCTATTGTCCAATGAATTACAGATTGGACAGCAAACAAATAGTAAACTCGAAATCAAAAAGACTGATAAAGTACGCAGTGGACCGAGATCGAGTAAAACTTTGCAAGAACTAGACGTTGCAGGCTTCGATAGTAATAACAAATACTATTCTAACAGAAACGGCAACCGAATAGTCAACGGTACAAAAGTCAGCAAAAAATTAAATCTTGACGATCCAGAATCATTACTTGTTAATAAAGTGAAGGCTAACAGTAGAAAACAACCAAATAGAGTGAAAAACGGGTTGACTACGAACAACAAAAACCAAGATAAAGAAATTGAGATCATAGACGTCGAAGATATGGATTCTGAATCTGATACAGGTAATCAAAACCAGGAAGTTCCGGAAGAGCCTCCTAGAGCTGATGGGTATGTAGAAAGAAATCCTCGCCCTATAGAAGATCCTGCCATAGAAAATATCGCTGACAGAATAAAGAGAAGACAAAATCAAAGAACTGTCAGTAACACTGAAAACTTGTCATGTCAGGTAACGTTTTTATCCTTATTGAGTGTGCAGCTTAATGAATGAATTGCATCAATGGTTATTAACATTTAATGTGATTTTCAGGCAATTGTTAAGAAGAAAAAAGCATCTAAACCCAAGGCAAAAAAAAGCCAACCAAGTAGTTCGACTGAAAAGTCAGAAGCACCTAGAAAAAGAGGAAGGGCACCGTCGAAGAATGGAAAAAAAATTAAACCGACAACAAAATCCACGCAAGTAAAAGTTTCATCGGAAACCGTCGTCAATAGTTACATCGGTAAAAGAATCTTCGCGAACAAACAATCCCTTCTGGGAGATGATACTTCTTCTGAATCCGATTACCCTTCCACGGTAAATATTAGAGCTCGGCAATCTTCAGCAAATTCGTATGCTAATTCTTCATCTGGTCCTTCACGCTTATCTTCGACGCCGAAGATATCATCCAAAAAAACACGGAAAACAAAGCCTGTTAAACGAAAACAGTCGAAGCCAAAGCCTTCAAAACGAAAAGAGGCGAATCCCGAGGAAAATTCGGAAAGACCAAGTACCGACGAAATAAAGTCCGCTAAACGAGGTAGGCCTCCAAAACGGAAAGCGCCGAGTTCTGAGGAAAATTTGGAAAGCCCAAGTATTGACGAAAATAAGGTCGCTAAACGAGCTAAGCCTTCAAAAAAGAAGGAGCTAAATTCCGAAGAAAATTCGGAAAGTCCAAGCCCCGTCGTAAAAAAGGCCGCTAAACAACCTAGACCTTCAAAACGAAAAGCACCTAGCCCCAAGGTAAAATCGAAGATTCCAAGTCCAGTGGAAGAAGTTATTTTAAAAGACGAAGCTGAGCGTGAAAAATTTGATAGAGAATTAGCAATACAACTACAAAGTGCGTATGATTCTATGGAAAGAGTGGCAAGGAGAACGAGACGTGGTGAGGCAGCCGCTGAGGCTAAAATACTCAAATCGACAACATCGACGTCCAGTAAAAAAGCCAAGTAGGGAAGGGTTAAAGTCAGGATTAAAATGAAGATATTTAGGGCTCAAAGTGGTGCTATGCGTGCTGTTGTGATATTGTGAATCGGCGATTGGCCTTTCTCGAATAAGATAATATTAAGTTCTACACGTAAAAAAATATAAGTCTATATTTATTTTATTTAAACTATTGTCAATGAAATAGCCGCTTTATTTAAGTTAATTTTATTGGTTGTGATCTCATGAATTAGATATTAAGATACTGCGCGAAATTCATGAACGGCAAACCGTAAGAATCTTGTGATTTTACGTCGACATAAAAACTTTGCATAAAAATTATTCGAATTATATCGACTCTGTGTCAGATTTGGAATGAGTATTTTCTAATATTAAATACCCAATCCAAATTCCATGTCACAAAATTTGTAAATTTACCTACAAATAAAATTAATTTTCATGCAAAGAACGTATTATTTACCATCTTAAAATAAGGGCCAATCAACGGTGACCACTTATCGCACGTTAGAGAAGCTTACCTCAGAACGAAAGTCATCAATTATTCATAAATCAGAATCTTCTTATACTTTATAAATATAAAATCACTTTTTTATATTATTATTATTGCAAGTTTGCAATGTATTATTCAGACAGATTGTTCCTAATTCATATCTCTTTGAATTAAGAGATAATTTTTATTTTGATTTGTGAACCAGATCATGTCCTACAACTAATTTTTCTTAACATAAACAACCATTTTGGCTTACCAGTCATTTATAATGAATAAGCAATTTAATAATTGATGAACTTATTTTGATTGATTAATTTTACAGTTTATTTATCAGAGTCACGTAGTTTTGACTGTTTGACAACTAACTTGCTCGTATTTAATATTTTATTTTTTTTACAGTTGAATTATTGGATTATATCGAATCATTCAATATTTACATTTATATCTTAGATCAATTTAAACTATTTCGTTAGTTTTTTTTCGAAATTGGTTGCGTGCTTATTTTAACTACTACTAATGTATCATAAATTACTTTTTTGATTTATTCAAACGATCCCATACATTTAATAGAAGATGGTAAATGTATCTATCCAATACAGCAAAGATAATTCAGTCGTCAAAGTCCTATATCTGAACGATCAATTGAGAATTCTGATCAGTACTTCTGAAGTGAATGATTTTTGAAATAGTGTCGCCTTGCAAAACATCAAATTCAAATAATTTAATTGCTTATATCAACGACAAAGTCCGCGTTCTATGTGAGAAAAACTATTCTCAATGTATAACTTCAGGAATCAATTTATTTATGATAATTTTTATAAAATTTTTCTTTCAAGACGATAAAATTTTAACAGTTACGAAAAAATGCCATATATGTTGTACGTCCAATTGTAATGAGTGCACAATCACTGATGAGTATTTTCATTTGAGAGGTTCAGGAGTTTGTCCTAAACTCAGTGTCAGTCATCGAGATAAAGATAATTGTACATAATTATTGAATTCTCTAAAGAAACAAAATAAATGTATTTTTATAGCGTGCGATTTTTAAGATATTTTAGCATAAGTATGATTAAAAATAGTCCTATTTATTATTTACATAATTCTATATTTTTAATTGATTACAAGGAAATAGAGATTAGCTGCTTTGTATTATATAGTTTAAAAGCTAAATTCAAACTAATCAAATATTATATGACTTTATGAGTGTGGATTTATTGTTAAGTGACTCACAGAAATCTTTATCAAGTAAATAGTTATCAATTGTATAATTATGGACAAACCTCTCATGATTTTACGTTAAAAACACTTAACTCACTGGTAACGCCCAATTAATTAATTGATTAAATAAATCCTTCTACAATTTATTTTAAAACTAAAAAGAGCAAAGAATTACACAAATATGAAGATTGAAATAAATTGTAAAGTATGAAATTCTGTTTTGATTCTTTGCTCGAAAATACTGTTAAATATTGTACATTTAAATTTTTAGATGTAAATGAAAAATATTTAAAAAAGAATTATGTAGTTAGTAAAAAAATGAAGTGATCATGACGATCGACCCATATTGTAAATTAATTGCTCATTTTTAAAATGCGTGTTTATTCTGACATCACTTGAAAAGAAATTAAATTGTATTACATTTTTATGTAAATTTGATGGAATATAAATAAGTGAGCTTTAAGTTTTCTTCCAGTGAAAAATGAAAATAGAGACTATAGAGAGAAAATATTGAAATTATTTATGTAAAGATGAAATAATGCACATAATGTGTTACTTTTAACACAGTTGTAAAAATTTTTATAAAATGATCGAAATGATATTTTTTTTCCACATACAAATGTAAATTTTTTGTTAAATATAACATAAACAATAACAGAAGTAAATAAGAAACACACCTGAATTGTCTTTATGTAATGAAAATGAATTATACTTCATAGCATGAAGTTGAGTTGTAAATAAAAATTTTTTTATATACGACAAATCCGTATCGCTGATTGTATATTAAGTTTAAGATACACTGTAAAAAAAGCTATGATTTCAAGTCCGATGACTTGAATAATTTCATCGTAGAAAGATTTAATTTTATAAATAAATATAGTGTATAGATATAAAAAAAAAACATAACAATCGACAAATCGTTGTTGAAAGCCAGTTAAGAAGCAGAAAATCAATAAATTATCTGCACCATATCTATTGAAAAAAAGTATTCTTTTATCAAAATACTCCTTACCCTGTACTTGATACAAATTTACGCGAAAAAAAAAAAATAAGAAAGATGATACACTAGCAGTAGTTCTTTTAAATTACGAGTGTAATTCATTGCGAGTTGATAATATGCGAAATATCACATACAGAAAGACAAAAATTAGTATTTAATTTCAAACTAACGATATGCATTTTTTACTTGAAAATATTGTTTTACACACGTGGAAAGTAAATTTATTTATACTTGATGAATTATAAAAGAAAATCAAAACACGATTGGATTTTTTCATTTATCGGATTAAAGTAATCATCTTAATAATCATTTTATTGCAAGATGAAATATTCGACGTATCGTATTATGCCACATCGTCATTCGAAACCTTTGACCCAGAATAAGAAATTTTCAAGTCCATTAGGGTAAAAAATGTATAAAAATTTGCTCGAAATAATTACCGTGCGCGAGCGCTCGAGAATTCGCATGCACGTGCCATTCCAGTTCATAGGTATATACATGTATAGACTTTTCACGATCGGTTCACCGCCGCTGCGCAGCGTAATTCAAATACTTTCGATTACGTCGCGATTTCATGCCTTACCAATGCCGGAAGGGCAACCATAGGTATATTATACAGTTCAGAAAAAAATGACATAGAAAAGAAGAAAATCGAAAGGTTACGCAAGGATAATGTAAAATTTATATAAGAGCACGCGCGAACAAAGATCGCCACACACACCACACCCTCTCTCACCTCTCGGGAGAAAGTCAATTTCTTATCGCGTTGTTGTTGTCGGCTGGATGCGGAAATGCATAAGGATCATAAGCGTTCGGGACCTATATCTATTAGGCATTGTCCCGATATGAGTTAACCGCGAGGTGGCGCACTTGTGTTATGCGACGTCATGCGCACGGTACGTTTTTCGCGAAAATTTATATAGCGAAAAGAAGTTCGTCGTCTGCTTTACGGACGTTACACTGTGTAGAAATAATAATAATAGTAACAAGTCGGATAACACAAGTGCGCCACCTCGCGGTCAACTCATATCGGGACAATGCCTAATACAGCAGCACCGCGGGTCCTGCATAGAAACGCAAATCGCGAAGTCTATATAGAGTAGAGCCGACGGATTACGATCTCGCGCGATAAATAATGGGATTTTTCATTCGCAGTGGAAAAGCTCCGTTCGCTGCGTGAATAATCATATCGACTACTTACGTAATGCCAAAAAATCGTATACACCTACATCGCGTAAGTCGCGTAGCGCGCATGTTGTAATGTACATCGTCGTTATATCGGCCGCCGATCGGTTGGTAACGTGCAGTTATGGGAGAGCTCGCGTGCGCAGGACGCAGCAGCGGCCAATGTATCGCACACGCGGGTGTACGTAGGAGCTGAGTCGCACACGACGAGCCCCGTGTCACGCTGCTCATACAGTAGTTAGTCGCGATCATCGCGCGAACGGTGCGTCGCGGATATAATTATAATCGTTTATACAACGACGACGACGACGACGACGTCGAATCGATAAAACGATAGGCGCGCGTGGCACTGGAACCGCGTAGTTTCTCTCTCTCTGCCCTATATAAATCGGCTCTTATATATCAATGGTTTCGATAAAAGCATATAGAATAGAACAAAAAAAAAAAAAAATAATAATAAAAAATTGGACTGCCGAGTGGCTGATATTCGATACAGTAATCGCGAGAATTACTAATTTTATTTATAAGCGAGCTTGCATTGCTTATAAGTCGCTGACAAGTGCACGAGCGGAAGAATCGTGGCATATACGATAATACAAGCGCGCGTGTCGAGACGCGGGAGCAATGCACTGCTGTGTGCACGGCCAGTTTTATAAAATAAAAGAACCGCGCACGGCACACAACACGGGGCCATTACTCAACACGATGGCATAATCGTCCGAAATCGGTCGAATCGGCGATTTTTTCACGCCGTATACACGTATTATTATGCAGCGGAAAGAATTCGGCCAGACCGGATGTGCGTAATGCGATACGTTATTAAATCGCGGGGAGTCCCCCCCCGCGAGGAGTACACGATACGTCACGCGCGAACATAACAAAGTCGATCGATATAATACGAATTCATCTTTCATCGAGACGTCTATATAGAAACGATCGTTATGGGTTTTATTCTCGTTTTAGCACTCGAGAGTTGCTATTTTGCCTCGCCTAGCTATCTACTCGTGTCGGAGGCTGTTTTTTTTTCTTTTCAGCTCTCCAGTCTCTCTCGAGTTATGCATTAATATCTATATATCGCGCGAACAGAATGGAATAGGCGCTATATATAGTACTTAGCCCCTGAGGTGCGTGGCAGTGCACACAAGCTACTGCTGCTGCAATTGTGTATCGACTCCGCAGCACAAGATAGATAGAGTGAGAGTCGCGGCCTCCGCTTTTTGCGCTCTCACTCGCTCGAGCAAACGCTTATTAAGCTGCAGCACGACGAGCTCAACGTGACTGGCCACGTGACTGCGCTCCCTCTGCCCGAGCCTCGGTCACGTTGCACACGGCGTGGCCCCGTCGCGTATACTCCCAACTTCGCTGCTGCTGCTGGCGTCGATCGCGCCAATAGAGGCACATATGTTTCGACAGCTATGCAGCTTCGGCCTCTGTGTTCTTCCGATTGCGGCGGCACAGGCTCGTGCGTGTGCGCGAATTCTCTCCTCGTCTTCTCGAGCGCAGAGCTTGATATTTTCGCTTTAAAACTACAAAACGCGCGTCTCTCTCTCTTTGTGTAACAATAATAATAATAACCGATACACAGCGATCGATGGTTCCGATCTTTGTGTGACCGTAGATTGAGAAAATTCCTTCGATCGAGCTTTTTTTGCCCCAGCCCTTAGCCGGGCCCGCGAGAAAATCATAGTACAAAGTGTCGATACAATAAAGTGCGCCGAATCGGGGGCCGATACACACATAGCCAGTGATAAAGTGCGTGTGTTGTTGTTGTTGTGTGTGCGCGACTCCGGTGGTGGTGAATTTTCTAGAACGTTTCAACGATAGTCTGTGTACGTACGCACACATCGTGACAGGCAACATCTCCTCGTTATTATTTCGCAAACGTACCACTCGGTTCGTTTTTTCCGCAGCTCGTACACAGCAGCGGCAGCGCAAGGTCAATATTACATAAAAAATAATAAAAAAGATAAAAAACTAGTAGTTAACGATCTCGTTGATACGAAATAATTATTTCATTGTCGATTCTTCATTTTTCGATGTAATGTAATTCGTAGAGCTTGCTTTTCAGTGGTATTGGAATTGGGTTAAAATCCGAGAAAATTCGATTCAATCGGTGTTTCGAGAATTATCTTAACGGCTGTGGGACTCGTTATTTTTAACTTTTAAAAATAATCAGATACATTGCATCGATCAATTTGTATTTATCGCCGTGACAGTTAACGATGCTCCATATATAAACGAAAATAATTGCCGCAACGAGCGATTCGATTAATTAATTAGAATTTCGATTTTCCGCAGTGACGATAATAATAAAAGCTCATTAACGCTCTCTCGCATTTCAGAGATTTTGAAGCGCCGTGTCTACTATCTAGCGCTCGAGAGTCGAAAAAAAAAGATATATATCGCAAGAATCCTAGTGGAATCGGAGTATTATATAGTAGTGGCACTATACACTGCATGCGGTTATAGAGAGATTTTGCATCGCGCAAGAAGATCGTATATATCTAATACTGCGACGTACGATCTTGTGTGCGCATATATACGTGTGTTGGTGTGAGAGTTGGTTTCTGCACGTACGCCGCAGCCATCGTCACTGTAGCCGAGCTTTATATAGTGCGACGTTCTTTGTATTATTTACGAAGGACGACTTAACGCAGTAGTAAAAAAAAGAAAAGACTAACAGCAATAGTATACGTTTGGGGAGTCTGGATTTGTTGAAGTGCTCGTCAGGCGGGGAGGCCCAATTATAATCACTAATGCATAGAATTAGAAGCGACCGGATTTGCTACAAAATTAATAACAATTTATGGCGATTGATCAATGAAATCGTCAGCAACGGATAGAGAGGCCAAGAGAAGAGAATAAATAACAAATCGCTTCAAAGGCTCAAAAAACATAACTTGAAAATTTGGTGGTGGTAGATCGCGGGTTACAAGAGAGCTTGAAACGATGTAAAAAAAGCCCGTGGAATTCCAGGATTGTGTATTAATTAGGAAAAAATCGTCGGTTAAAGAAGCAGCTGATCCTCGTCCAAGTTTTACAAGGTAAACAACGATTTATTTGTTTTATATAAACTTCAATGGGATAATTATGATAAAAGTATATAAACAGATGAAAAGAATGTATTGTCCGCGACGCGACGCGCAGTTCAGCAATAGCGATAATGATGCCGTGTGTACAGTCGTTGCACTGCCCCATAGTGTGTGCGATTACTCGTTACACTTTATACTTACTTACGACGACTGTACTGCGATCGGCGACTGCGTCGAGTGGCAACTACGTCACGCTCTATAATATATAGACTTGCACTCGTGCTCGTGCACACATTGTTTTTATAATAATAATATAACTGCACCGCACATGTAGCTTTTGCCGCGCGCTGCGTTGTTGCTGTAATAACGTTACAGACAGATACACTCGTGTGTGTGTGTCTGTGTGAGTATGGCGGCAGTCAAAAGCGCCACTGCGCGACGACCCAACGAAAAAAGAAGCAGGAGGAAAAAAAAATTGTGTGTATCGTCAACCTCTCGAACTCTCGAAAGTTCGCGATGCCTCGAAGACGCGCGCGAGCTTCCTCCGCGCTCACGAACTTTGTATGTGGAGATCATTGCGTTGTTGTTGCTGATCGTGCCCGCAAAATAATGTCACGGAAGAAAAATTGAATTTACTTTTGTGTTGTTGTCGTTGTTGTGCCGATTTTTGTGCTTTTGCTGGTGCTTGCGAGAATATATTTGAATCGTCGATACGAGTAAGTCTTTTTCACAGACGATAATTATAAACGATTTGTAACGAAAATTAATCAAAGCATTTCGTTGGCGAAGATACGACGATAACGATATTACGTTGCCGACGCGATCAATTCGGCGTACTGTCTACCGCACGGGCGCGGATAATCGATAATTTTACCGGTAAACGTTGAAACTGTAACGGCATTGTTCCCCGCGTATGATAATAGGCGTATATAGTTCGTGTGGAACTCGAGTCGAAGCGTCGCGGACGCCGTCGCGTGCTCTTTAATACATACATATATCGTTGACAACTGGATATACGTTGCGATGGCTGTGTCATTTATGCAAACCAGCCCAGAGATATTTATCATACAAAGCCGTGCTTGACTTATGTACTTTTATTTTGACTTTGCCACTTGCAGATTTATACGGATGAAGGTATTCGCCATCTAGTGGTGGATACTGAAATTATCAGATCTAAACTTTTTGAAGCAGTTTAACTGACAATTCCAGGATATTTTAATTCATTTCTAACGCGATAAGACCCTAATAATTTTGGCTTCGTGGTCGCTTATGGTATTTAGACAATACGATTTTCACGGGTTAACTCCCTCATACCCAACGCTCTTATCAAAATTTCTCTTCGGAATAAATCATTCGATGGTCATTCTTTAATATTTTCTACTTGGACTATTCGCCGCCGATCCGCGAATAAATCGAAATGTGCAAAAAACGAGCCCCGATAGGCTCGATCCGAGAAGAGCTCGCCACGTCGCGCAAATAGTTTTGTATTTCTATGTCACGGGCAGGACGCATTTCTGCCAAAGTCCACGTTATATACGTACAAAATATTTTACACAAGCGTCTGCGCCACGTATATTCTATGCGCAAACTTAATAATAATAATAATAACAATAATAAGTATATACTAGACTGGCGCGGAGCTGCGGAATAGAAATTGTGCTGATGCAGCGCCCGGCGGTGCTCTTTCCGAGAGGAGTAGACAAGCTATATTATATACGCGGTCGCCGCCACGGAGCAGCGCAACATTAAACCATTTGCGTCAGCTCTTCTTTTTCGAATTACGCGCGAATGTTTTACCCTTATATTATTATATATATAATACCCGATGATGATAAGCATTGGCGCACTCGCGCGCAGTGCAGCGTGAAGACGTGCTTTTACTCGCTCCGAGCAAATTTTTAATTTTCTCCTTTTGTGGCTTACAAACGCCCGTAGAATCAGAAATTGTATAGTGTGTATACTCGATACGCGTTATATTATAAACAGGTAGTCGCCCCCCGCGCGCGCGCGCGCACAGAGGCATAAAAATCATCGATGGAAAATTCAGCGAGCTCGCTCGGGCTCGCATGAAAAACCCCTCGATTTATATCTGCGATTCGCACTCGTTCGAGTGAATGAAGTGATTAAAAAAAAAAACCTGTCTCCTTTCCTCCCGCACCCCTTTCAAGCTCGCGCGCGTGAAAGCTCGTGGATATTTCCATCTATATTTATGGGTTATATATAATAAAATAAAATGAAAAAAAATTGTATTTCAATGGGGGGCTTTTGAAAGGTGTATACCAAACGCGAGCGGATGTTTGATCCGGCAGTTTCTCTTTCAATTTGCGCAACTGCGTGGACGTAATAATAAAAAAAAATGAATAAATTTTAGAGATTTTCCACCGTTTGTTTCTAATTCGCAAACGAAAAGCTGCAAAATATTAAAGTGTTACAATTGGTGTACAGAAATGATAGATTAAACAGTTGTAGGTGCAATTTTATATTTACTTGAAAAATAATGTCAAAAAATAATCTTTATTTCATTGGACGTTTAGTCCAAATATTGATTATTATTTTTGAAGGCCTCTAGGAAACTAGTAGGTATTGAATCAATTTATATGACAATTAAATAATATATATTTGATAAAAGCACTATTGAAAATTAAATATATTCCGAATTGTTAAATATATGAATATATAGAAAATTATAACAAATAATATAGGAAAAAAAATATGTTCTTGAATTAATTTGATGCATTAGATCTAAGTATGAGATTCACTCATTACGCTTGTCAGTTTTACAATCTTTATGTACAGTTTTTCGGTGTCTGGAAAAAAATAGATTCATATCCGAATTTCTTCACACACTTATCGCATTCAAAATCTTTGCGACATTAATGTACAGTTGTTTTGTGCATTAACGAGCTCGATATTCTTCTTCTTTAATTTTCTCGCTTGTTACACATGGAATAGTTTTTGGTGTCTTATCAAATCGCCTTGAGACCCCAATGTCTTCTCTCATTTGTCGCATGCGATATCTTTACGCACTTCATGGACTCTCTTTTGGTGTTTGAGTAAATGCGTTTTTTGTCCGAACTTCTTCTCGCACCAGTCGCATGCGTAATCTTTTCGACCTTCGTGTATTATCCGTTGGTGCCTAGTTAAATTGCTTGGCCCCCCAAATTTCTTCTCGCACTTATCGCATGAGTAATCTTTGTGACCTTCGTGTACTGTCTTTTGGTGCTTTAACAAATTGTATTGTAGTCCAAATTTTTTCTCGCACTTGTCGCATGCGAAGTCTTTGTGACTTTCGTGTACTGTTCTTTGATGGCGAAGCAAATGCGGTTTATGTGTAAATTGTTTCTCGCACCTGTCACATGCAAAATCTTTCCGACTTTCGTGTACTGCCCTTTGGTGTACAAGTAAATTCTGTTTATGTCCAAATTTCTTCTCGCACTTGTCGCATACGAAGTCTTTGTGACTTTCGTGTACTGTTCTTTGATGGCGAAGCAAATGCGGTTTATGTGTAAATTGTTTCTCGCACCTGTCACATGCAAAATCTTTCCGACTTTCGTGTACTGCCCTTTGGTGTACAAGTAAATTCTGTTTATGTCCAAATTTCTTCTCGCACTTGTCGCATACGAAATCTTTATGACCTTCGTGAATTGTTTTTTGGTGGTGAATCATAATCCATTTTTGTCCAAATGTCTTTTCACACTTGTCGCATGCGAACCTTCTACGACCTTCGTGAACTACTTCTAGATGTCGGAAAAAATCAAATTTTCTTCCAAATTTCTTCTCGCACATGTCGCACGTGTAGTATTTGCAACCTTCGTGCACCATCCTTTGGTGCAAAAACAAATGATGTTTGTACCCAAATTTTTGCTCACACTTATCGCATGCATAATTTTTACGCCCTTCGTGTATTACTTGTAGGTGAAGGAGCAAACTCGATTTTTGTGTAAATTTCTTCTCGCACTTGTCACATGCAAAATCTTTGCGACCCTCGTGGACTGTTTTTATGTGCAAGAGTAAATACTGTTTACTTCGAAATTTCTTCCCGCAAAAGTCACATAAATAATCTTTGAAGACTTTGAAGGTGTAATCTTTCCGACCTTCGTGGATTGTCTTTAGTTGTAAAAGTGAGTGTGATTTTCTTCCAAATTTCTTTTCGGACTTGTCGCCTACGTGATCTTTGTGACTTTCGTGTACTGTCTTTATGTGCAAGATCAAATCCCGTTTATTTCCAAATCTCTTCGCACATTTTTCGCATAAGTAATCTTTGAAAACTTCGTGGAATATTTTATTGTGCTTGAGTAAATTTGATTTATTTTCAAATTTCTTTTCACACTTGTTACATGAGAAATCTTTACGATCTTTGTGTACTAATTTTTGGTGCGTTATCAAACTCAATTTTTTTACAAATTTTTTCTCACAGCTGTCACATGGAAAATCTTTGCGACTTTTGTGTACCGATATTTGGTGTCTACTCAAATGATTTCGGAACTCAAATTTATTCTCGCACTTGTCACATGCAAAATCTTTACGTTCATTTTGAATTGTGTTACGGTGTGTTATCATACTTGATTCTTGTGTAAAAGGGGTTTCGTCTGAAACAACAATACCACGTTCACTTGCATTATATCTTGAGATAACTTCGTCGAATTTTTTCTCACGTTTATCCATTTTAGTGCCTTAATTAAACGATGATATCTATTTAGTGCTACGGAGAATGAATAGATATAATTTAGACAATACTCGTACACATTTGTTTGCTTATAAATTACTTCAGTTATGAAGGTACGATTTCAAGATTGTTTATTTTCACATTGTTTACAATTAAGACATAGAATTTATCCGTCGCTATTATCGTCATTTTATAATTGAATAGCCCCAATGAGCTCATGAATATAAACATTTCTGTACCGATGTCCATGTATTATGTGACCAAAAGGATCATGTTATTTAAATATTCTTTCTTGTGACGAATAGATAATAGAAGATATAGTGGATTTAAAGTGCTCGATAACTGGTCTAAATTTCTTGAAGCAATTAAATTGGCATTATTCAGTCATTAGGACATTATTAATTTTAAGAATTTCTACCAAGGAAGATTATTGGAAAATGATGTAAAAAAAATTACGAAAATTTTGAAATAAACAATGCCTTTTTAAGTCATACTGGTGTCATAAAGCAGCTAAATAAAATGATGCTGGGCTGTACCAAAGTATCATAATTAGTATCGCAATTAAGAGTATCATTCAATTAAAGCCCATAAAAAGTAATGCGATCGCAGAAAAGTTTGTTGGAACATCTTCCAATCACACAGTTAAACCATACGCAAAATTAATCCTCAACTCGTTGCATTGGGAGGGAAATATATCGAGAAATCAAGCAACGCGTCGGTCAAATATCGATATCGTTCGGATCGGATGAAAATAGAAAATCATATACATCGACTCGCGAGATGCAACAAATGGTCGAGAGAAAGGAAACGAAGGAAATGGCAATCAAGGAGCGCCCGATGCAATAAAGCCGCGGACGGCCGCTTTCCAGACCGCATCCTCGACACGCATTAATTTACAATATGTAAACGCGCGCTTACATGATTGTACGCAGGCTGATCGTGTTCAGGCGTATATATCGCACCGCAACCGTCTGCGTGCGTCGATTCGCGTTATCGCAATGTTTCAATTACGTCATGCGAATTTTGGCGTCGCGATGAATTTTTTTGCCCAATGTTTCGTGGCTCCGAGGGTTCACTCGGAGATGATCGACTATTTATTAACATACACGGTTAAAAAAATTTTCAAACTTAATGTTAAATTAGATATTTGAATTAAAGTAACCGATTTCGAATATTATTTGAGGTAATTTTACACGAAATCTTTGTCGAAAATGAATATATAATATATTCTAGACATAAATTGCACAAATAATGCATAAATTATTTTTAAAGTAAAGATGAACAAAAGAAGATTTGATTCTGTACTTAAATTCAAACATTACGTACGAATTTTTTTAGAAAATGTATGAAAAAGCAAAAAAATTAGTGCCAGCCTCTGCCACTAGATGGCGAGTATCTTTATCTGTAAATCTGAAAGTGACACCGTACAAATATAGTTTCATAAAGCATTATTGTTGATACAAAAATAGAACTTTTCATCAAAATAATTTAACTATTTCGATAAATCATTTCAAAATAATATATCATACTTCGAAAATTTACGCGGTTATCTGAAAAATACCGATTTCTTTTTAATTAATAAAATTCACTTGTAAAACCTGAAACAGATCATTCTAAAAGATCAATGTTTCTCTGTTGAAAGTTGAAAGCTGATCTGTAAAGTTCGCATCGTACCGCGAGAATTCACGGGACGATGGGAAGCAAGTCTCGTATACATATGTAACGTTCGGCTCGAGATCGATCGACCGGAGTAGCAGCAGCTGTATCAACAGCAGCAGCCGCTCACGAAAACTCATACAACGAGCGGTCATAGCTTACACTCTCTTACCACCAAGCGGCTAGTTGTACATATCAGCTGCTCCACATACACTTTTGACATCGATCAAGCACAGAGAGTCGAGAGACACGACGATCGGCATTCGCGTATACTGATAAGACGCAATTGTGTACAGCGACGATAATACATACATTAATGCGCGCTACGCGTTGATATCTATGCTTCCAGCCTGTGACACACATATGTATATTATAAGAATCCGTCGTCGATGCAGACGGCGCTCGCGAGAGCTCACCGACGAGCTTTCATATATACCCACACACACTCGTAAGCGTCTCTCTGCGTGCAAGTTACGAAGTTGCGCGAGCCGTACAGGCGGTTACGCAATAGCTCTCGAGCTGAGCTGCGCTATATATCTCGAGTACGTATACGTGTGTGCGATATTATTATAGCGGGGCTATGAGCCCGTAATGGCGTAATCGGAGATGTGCACGAGTATTGTCTTACGCCGCTTCTACACCGATATGTATGTATGCATTCGATGATGCAGCACGCACACATGCGCACACGTTGAAAATCGTCGTTGTGCAGCGTGCGTCTTTTTTTTTCCTTTCTACGCGTTAGATTGATGCACGCGGTCAAAAATATTTACAACAAGATAACGTTTTCCATCCATACTCAAAATTTTTCAAGCTCGTGACTTATACAATTATGTTGACTTTGCCACTTGCGGAATTACAAATATTACGGTACTCGCCATCTAGTGGCGAAGACCGGCTTTAATTATGATTGAACTTTTCACAAATTTATTCATGATCATTTCGGTATTGAAAATAACGCGTTCGATTGAATTTTCATGCAATTTTTTGTACAGTTCGTGTAAACGAATAAAAGTATCTAAAGTAAAAATCTTTCAAACAGAGTACGTATAAAAATACACACTCGGATGCAAGTTTTTTCAGATTCTCCCTTTCCAACGTCGCGTTCACGATAATCCCATCATTATAAGTATACTGTGATGTGCTACTCGTGTATATAGGATATACACGAGCGAAACCTGCGGAGCAATTGCGATTCCGCGCCAGTACGCCGAATGAAATTTATATGCGCCTGCGAACGGACTCTTTATACTCCGGCGGCGATTTACTTGTTGTCGCCTGGCGGCAAGCGCGCGCCACCTTCATCTATTAATCTCGCGGAGCTTTTAACTATACATTGGCTTCGTCTGTCGTCTGTATTATAGCCGCCACGCGCGTGTGTGCTTTTACGCCTCTCGGCGCGGGCATACACGCGTGTATGTACGCAGAGGACGCGTCTTTATCGTATCAATTTATCGATAGAGAGTCTCGGAAAAATGAATAAAAGCTCGGTACCGTCTCGAGTTGTAACATTTATCCGATAGCGGTGTCGTAAATCTGCCGCATTAATGAGCCGCTATATATCGAGTTACGCAGCTAACTTTAAAAATTTTCAAAAATGTTAAAATCCAATTATTCGTCCAAGCTTTTTTCCTCTCCATCGAGACAACTTTTCGAGCTCTCAAGAATAATATTCACTCGCATAGCTCCTTTACAGTTTTAACTTCTTACTTACTTTAAATAATGTAAAAAGCTCGAACTCGCTGTAAACGGCTAGCGGCTCGGGTGAGAATCGCTGCGCGTTGTATGCGCATTTACATCCCGAGAAGTCAAACTGAAACGCAGCTTTCGAAATTGTGTCGATAATCGCGCGCAGCGCGGCTCAACTCGATAGAAACTTTTGGGGATTCTCTCGCATTGTGTAAATTCGAATTTTTTCCCCCGAAAATTTATAATGCTTCGTACGATGATTATAACGAGATAATAATGAAAATTATTTACAACGATGAAGTTAATAAAGTAAGACCTTTAGTTTAGCTAAAAAATATGCGTAAGCTTGTAAATCATCGAGCTTTGCCATCTAAAATTCACTGCTTCGAAATATATCTAATTGTTCGCGAAGTAATTTTACCTACAAATAAATATTAAGAAACTTTTGATCGTATCGAATGAGCCCCGCGCATTCAAAATCATAAATAAAATAGCGTAACTTTGTAATAACGTCGAGCATCAAGAATAAATGGCTATTTATCGAGGCGTGCAAATAGAAGAACCGCACTCTCGGCGTATTGGCCATATTTCGCGCGTCGCGATGTGTGTGTGTATATGTGTGTTACGTGTCGCCGTTCAATGCAACTCAGCGAATAATTATGACGTTACACGAGAAATTAAAATACGCGTGAGATGCAGCTCGCGTTCGTCGAGCGGTTTGTCGAACGCGACACAAAAACAGTTCATCGTTCCCGTTTTTCCAGCCAAAAGACGTGTCAATTTTACTGGATTAATTTTTTTCTTTTTTTTTTTTTTTCATACGATTTCGAGAGTTTTGAATCGCCGCACATTAATGTCGCGAGAGTTGAAAAAAATACATTTATTCTATTTATAAATAAGAGCTTTGTGTCTTGTTACGGACGCGCAAAGCTTAAATGATAGCGAAAGTACGAAACACCGCTGCAGTAGCCGCGCGCTCGTGATATATAAACAGCTTGAGAAATTAGGTTCATTTTTCAGCGGCGGCAATTTTGATGCTTCAGATTGGGGACGATGGATGCCTTTTTAAATTAAAGTTTTGATTTTGGATTCTCGCAAGAAATATGGTCTGAACATTTGGCATATACAAATTGAAAGTTATTTATAATAAAAAAGAAAGTGAGATTAGAGCAAATTGTTCGTAAATAAATCAATCAATAGCTATACACGATACACATGCTGCTAATATAAAAGCCTTATATATACTTCGTGAGGTAGTCAAAACCTCAAGGGAGGTAGTTTAAAATGTAACTTTGAGATTGACTTTGACATCAATGTAAAAGTGAAGGAATTTTTTTCCTCCTCGTAGATGAATTCGATTTCATGTAAAATTTCCCAAAGAATTGTTAAGACCGACATTATTTTTTCCTAACCGTGCTTCAACTTGTACAATTATGTTGACTATGCCACTTGCAGATTTACAGATATAGAAGTACTCGCCATCTAGTGGTGAAAGTTGACTTGAGTTGCGATCGATTCTCTTGAATTTTTTAATTTCAATCGAAATGTTTGAATTCTAGTATGGAAGTAAATCTTGTTTCTTGTTCAGTTTTGCTTTTAAATAATGCATATGATTGCATTTTTAGTCATTTTCTGTGCAATCAATGTATACAATGTAAATCACTACTTATACTATACATTTATTTTCAACGATTATTTCAAGCAAAATTATCCTGAATAAAATTTGCAATCGGTTACCTTATTTTAATGTCTGATTTCACATAATTAAATGTGCATTCAATACAAGAGTTTTTCCAACACATTGATTATGCTATTATATTCACGAGGATAACTTATTTTTGCAGATTTTCACATCTTTACGCACGAGCAGACGATGATACAGTAAAGCTGCTCAAATATCGATTATGTGAGCACGAAATAACTTCAAATAACTTTTTGCGCCACAAGCGAGCGATAATTAACGAACAAATCAATCGTCCGCAGGAAATGTAAGAGGCGCGAAATTTGATCTCCGAAGTGAAGCGCATCGATTTCCGGCCGCACACACCCACATACATACACACACACGCGCTGCGTGTGCTATTCGCAGTCAACGTCAACGAAAATGACGGGCAGCCAGTGCAGCGAAATCGGCTGCGAGCTGGGCTGTCGAGCAGCGCAACAGCACCAACATCAACAGCAGCAGCAGCAGCAATCGATCCCATCGGCAACGAGCGGCCCATCGATCGATCGAAAATGTCGATCCACCACCGCTGCCGGCAGCAGCAGCAACAGCAGCGCAGTCCCTACCACCGCTACGAGCAACATTACCACCACCACCAACAACAACAACAACAACAACAACAACGACGGTGGCGGAGTGTCTCAGCATCAGCAGCATCAGCATCAGCCACCAGCAGCACCTCGTGCCAACGCCAACAACGCCACAGCAGCAACAACGGCAGCCACCACAGCCAGCAACGCGACGGGCCAAAAGCACACGGTCCATTGGTTCCGCAAGGGTCTGAGGCTGCACGACAATCCGTCGCTGCGCGACGGCCTCGAGGGCGCTGCGACGTTCCGCTGCGTCTTCGTGCTCGATCCCTGGTTCGCCGGCAGCACCAACGTCAGCATAAATAAGTGGAGGTTGTTTGTTGCTTTCATTTCTTCCTATCTCTCTCTATCTCTCATTTCTTTCTTTCTTTCTTTGCGATATAATATATGCTTTCTCTCTCTCGAGTTGTGTGCTACACGCAAGAAAAGTCGCGATAATAATGCAGAAGAAATGTAGTATTTTAGCGCCGAGCTCCCTATCGAAATATATACATGCATATACGTATATGTAGAAAACTACCCCCCAGTGAAGCAACACCAACGCAGCAGGGCCGTGTTGCAAAGTATACATACGTAAACTCGCGAAGGTAGAACCAAGAAGAAGAAGAGATGTTGCGAAACTTTGTCCGATTTGCGTGAAGTGCGAGCAAAGTTGAGCAAATCGCTATATAGCCTAGCTCGCTCGCACACACGTATATTATTGCATGTATAAAATATAACGGTGTGTACAGATATAGTTGCTGCTGCTTTCGCCTGGTATATATATGTATCTCGGCGCTGAACTCTCGAGCGCCAACGCGCCAGAGAGAAATATTACCTTCGTTTATCAGTGTATGTACACGCACACGCACGGGAATGCGACAGGTTAAATTTTCCGGATTATTACGAACCTGACGAATCTTTTAATTTTCTTACCAAACCATTTTGGTATTGGGTATCGAGCATCGACGTCCGACGCCCTCTAGCGGTGTAACTCGTACCATTTTTCGAATCGACGTTCCCCCTCGTCTCCGATCGCGATATCTAAAAATATACGTTTTCCTAACACCACTCTCCACGTTCGCGCGCAGATTTCTCCTGCAATGCCTCGAGGACCTGGACAGCTCTCTGCGCAAGCTCAACTCGCGGCTGTTCGTCATCAGGGGCCAGCCTGCGGACGCCCTGCCCAAGCTCTTCAAGGAGTGGGGCACCACGGCGCTGACCTTCGAGGAGGACCCCGAGCCCTACGGACGCGTGCGCGACGAGAACATCACGACGCTCTGCCGCGAGCTCGGCATCTACGTCGTCCAGAAGGTCTCGCACACCCTCTACAAGCTCGACGAGTGAGTATTACACATATTATTTATTAAATGTATAATTTATATGGCGGTATGTAGTGACACCGAGTGGCTGAGTTAACAGCTGATAACGCGAGTCGCGCGCGCCAGCTGACCAAATATTATGCCGCGTGCGTACATGTACCTGTGTCCTGAAAAAAGCTCGACGTGTATATCATTCGACGACGCACAGCAGCAGCAGCGCGAGACCGGGTATAATAATTCTGATTTCTAGCTCGAGAAAACTTTGGAATAAAAAAAAAAAAAAGAAAAAAAAACATAAAACTCATTTAGGCAGGGGGTGAGGTTGGAGTGAGGAAATTGGCTGGCACCTAGCACACAAGTCGCGTATGAAAAATACGTGCGCACGTGATCATACAGTTATATTAGAATAGGCTAGCTGCACATGTAGTAGTAGTAGTAGTAGTAGTCACCTCAGCAGCAGCGGCAGTGGCAGCCTGCTGGGGAATCTTTTGCTCTGCGCTCTCACAGTAGAGCGAGTGGAGTAGGATTCCACACGGAGCACTTTAACACGCGCTCCTCACTCGAGAATAGCTTTTCTCTTTCTCTCCCTCTTCTCTCTCTCTCTTGCTCGCTTTTCTCGCCGAGCAATGCACCTAAACTATATTCCTTGTTTTTACGACCTCGAGACCTTTTGCTTTGCAAACTGTACGCGCGTGTATGTGTCTGTGTATGTAGGTGTGTGCGAGGCCCCGTGCGCAGGGATAAAAAAGCACACTTCTTTCTTTTACTCTCCCGTACACGACTTGCGCTCGCGAGCGTGTATTACACAGCTATATAAGCTCGAGATTTTCTTACACACACACACACACACGCATAAAAAAGCTACGCGTGCGACAGTCAAGTTCGAGTTAATTCGCGCTCGGCCCCATACGCATAACGGCATAAATAATTCGCAACGGTGCGGCCCTTTTTTTCTGCGAATAATATACTCGATCTCGTTGCCGCTGACTACGACACGAGAGCTCGTCGCGAATCGTCCAGGCGCGCGCGCGCGCGAAAAACAATTTTCAAACTGCGATGAGCTGCCACTGCTGCAGCCGACTACGTACATACGTACATACAGCTATTATATTATAATATATATATGGCCGATTCTCTGTGAAATCGAATGGCCAAAAAATTTTTTTTTCTGCAAATACGAAAAACTTGCTGTTCCCGATGTCAGAAATGTCCCCAAATTTTACTAGAATTTTTGGGACCATCTATCACTATTTTTCAGGGGCCCGAAGTTGGCCATTTTAGGGTTTTTTTGAAATTCATGAAAAATCACAAATATTAAAATAATTCCTGGATCAGGGTAGAATGATTCAAAAGTAAAAGTGCCCAGCAACTTTTTTGTTGGAAATTGTCCGAATTTTCAGAAAAAAAATATGCCAAAGTGATTGGAACAATCTAGGTAAATGTAAAGCAAAAAAACTGCCAAGTGGACATAAATGATGAAATCTAATCGAGTTCGAACCGGACTTTCATTTCCTAAACTATGTAAAAAGCTTCCCAAAGATGTCAACTACTGCCTGATAAAGTTTTGTAATGGGTCTTAAAGTTTAACTCAATGTAGACAACAATGTGTGGTGAAAAACGTGCAAAAAAGGACTGAAAATGGCTGTTTTTGGTGATTTTAGGCATTTTGGGCCTAATTTTGACCTTTTTTGCATGTTTTTCGCCACACATTGTTGTCTACATTGCGTTAAACTTTAAGACCCATTACAAAACTTTATCAGGCAGTAGTTGACATCTTTGGGAAGCTTTTTACATAGTTTAGGAATTGAAAGTCTGGTTCGAACTCGATTAGATTTCATCATTTATGTCCACTTGGCAGTTTTTTTGCTTTACACTTACCTAGATTGTTCCAATCACTTTGGCATATTTTTTTTTCTGAAAATTTGGACAATTTCCAACAAAAAAGTTGCTGGGCACTTTTACTTTTGAATCATTCTACTTTATTCCAGGAATTATTTTAATATTTGTGATTTTTCATGAATTTTAAAAAAACCCTAAAATGGCCAACTTCGGGCCTCTGAAAAAGAGTGATAGATGGTCCCAAAAATTCTAATAAAATTTGGGGACATTTCTGACATCGGGAACAGCAAGTTTTTCATATTTGCAGAAAAAAAATTTTTTTGGCCATTCGATTTCACAGAGAATCGGCCATATATATATGTATGCGAGAGAGTCGGCAATACATTACAATTACTGGCCGGAGTGGGTGGGCCCTTAATGAAATTAAAAGACAAAAGCAGCTGGCTGGCTGGCTCGCGACCGACTGGGTCAAAAAGTGAAGCCCTCGCGCTGACATCGTTACACACACACATATAAAATATATACAGATATATTTATACGCGTTGTTTGCGCGTATGTATATAAAGCTCGAATTATCTGCGTGTGATAGGCCAACAAGGAGAAATTATAAAAGCTGGCGCGCGAATTTGGCTACGTGAATTTATCGCCTCGCGAGCTCGTGCGCGGGGCCGTGTCGTCGTCCTCGTCGTTGTTGCTGTTGTTGTTGTTACGTTGTGCCCTACGGCTATAAGTACGTCGCGCGGCGTATTTTATACATCGCGATGACGTATAATACGCGCCGACTGCCATGTAGCTCGTTTTTTATACGATGATGTGCGTTGCTATATACGCGTTGCCTGTATATAATTCTTTTGCGTATACATCTATCTCGTTTTGAGCCGATGACGCTGCAGCAGCCGCACACACAGACACATCGGCCTATATTATATATACTATACTATATTGCAAGCTACATACACTGCAGTTAGCCCCTTGTGGAAGAGAGGCAGAGAGAGAGAGAGAGCGGCATAAATAATTCTCAGCGGTCGTTCGCTACCACTATACGCTTCGTGCGGATATTTTTCTTTCGAATTAAGTTGTGCGATGGGACTCGGCGTCTGCCTGACTCTCTGCCTTGATATGTTTTTTCAGGGTGAGCTGTGCAATGCAACACATCAGCTCTACCGCTACTGCTGCTGCTGCTGCATATTTCTGCGCTCGCTTTTCACGCGAGGTTTCCACTTTTAATTTTCGAATTAATTTAACTTGATGAAAATCCCTTATACACTTCACGCGCGTATAGCTTCTTCTTCTTTCGCGCAAACTTTTTTAGATGACTCGTGTGCACGCGTGATGCATTTGTTAATTGAAATGTACGAATGACGAGTGTGCTTCAACCCCAGTAGACAGTATCTGCGCCATTCTACAAATCAATACGTTGGCGTTTGAGGCAAAAAAAATTCGCACGCGTCGTCGGCGATCGGTATCAAAATTAATAATCGTCAAAATCCGTATTAGTCGCGTATAGCTCAATCGAATTATGTATACTATATATATATCGCTCGGCGCTTTCGACGAATCGAATCAATTTTTCAATAGAGTCGCGCCGCCGACGCTGCTCGTGCAAATTTATATAACGTGAACTCGTTGCGCGCCGCGTCGACGTCCTTTTTGCGCGCTGCTATATACTCTATATACTACTCGAGGAATATAACGCTGTGGCGGGCTGCGGCGGTGGTGGTGGCGGCGCAGCGTTAATTTATTTACCGATTAAATTTATTTGGAAATTCAATGCCGTTCTGTAGAAAGATAGAGAGAGAGCATAATACCCGGCGTGCTCGCTCGCTCTCTCTCTTGGATTTACAATGATTAAGCTCGGCTTCGCGGGCGTACACGTTGACTGTACTTTTCATCGTTTTTTTTTCGTTTCTTTTTTTTTTTTCATACCATCGCAGCTCTCCCGAATCATTTATCTCACTTCACGCAGCAGCGCTGGCGAAAAACTCATTTTTCGCTTGCCCCTTTTGCGCCTCTTTCTCTCTCTCTTTCTCTCTCTCTCTCTCTCTCCGATTCGCTCCGCTATATATATATTTTGTATAAAACCTTAACTTCGCGCGCAGTCCTCCCGGCTGCGCCGCTCTTATCTCTCCGTCGATTATGTGTATACAGCCAGAGCAATAAGAAAGATGCTTCAACGCTTGTAAAGATTTAAGTAGGAAAAGAAAAGCTTATGACGCGTCAACGGGTTTCACGATGGATTTTCACGAAGAAATCCTCGCTCGCTATTTTGCCTCGGCATATAAAGTTGTAATCGTTACGGAGAACATCTGTTGAGAGTTTTTATCGCTTCGCGAACCGACGAAGCTAATTTTTTTTTTTTCCTAATGGTTTTGAAAAATTTTTATCGCTACGATTAATTTTTACGTCTTTCGCGAGTGAGTGTTAATAAGGAAAAATATAGTTTGAAAAACATTCGATTACAGCGTGTTTCAAGTTATCCGTGGTAAATTTCGCTTTTAAAAATGATCGTATAATAAATTTACATGCCTCAAAGAGGAGCTTTTAAGTTCGCCTGTATATACGCAGACCGAAATCCGTTCCACAATAGTTTGACAAACTTTTCCCCTTTATATAACTTTCGTAATAGTTTTTTATGATTCCTCCCTCGTTTTTCCGACGAAATATCACATACACACAGTTTGTATCGGTAATATCGTTATATCCCTATTCCATGACGCAAGCGAAGTATACGGTATCTCTATGCTGCCGACGACGACGACCGAGGTTGAAAGTCCGAATTTTCGTGTGTTGCAGAATCATCGAGCGCAACGGGGGTAAACCACCTTTGACCTATCATCAGTTTCAAAACATCATAGCTCAAATGGACCCGCCCGAGTATCCCGCGCCTACGGTCACGGCCGACTGTATCGGGAACGCTTACACGCCTCTCATCGACGATCACGACGATCTCTACGGCGTGCCCACGCTCGAGGAATTAGGTGAGTTTTCTTCCTCTTTTTTTTCAACCCTCTTCGTTGTAAAATGTTGTCCGGTTGGACGTAAGAGTGCTGCGATTGTTTTACATGTTACATCCCGAGAAAATGAAAATAATTTGTTTTTAAATTTTTTGGAATTTTTTATAACACGAGCTCGGCTGATGCGGAATTTATTTTGGACTAATTATTTCCGTAACAAAGTAATTTTTTGAAATTCGCTTGGTGACTTTGAAAGAAGAGTTGTCCATTATATGAATACATGCAATACGAAGGTAATACAAAGGTAACTCAAATTAAATATAAATTACGAATGACTTAACATTAACTTTGAATTAATTTATTGTTCAAAATTCTTTTAAAATAAATACATGATTGGAGATTAGTTATATTTTTGTGTTCTTTTACATGTGAAAATTTTCTTACAAATATCACTCAAAGTTTATTCTTCTGTCGGCTAAACCAATAAAGATTTTTAAATAACGTTGCTTTGACAATATTGTAATACGGATAAATTATACAATTTCGCACTGGATTAAAATAGGTTTTTAGATTATACTCTTGTGTGAACGTCTTTCCACAAGTGTGAAACGTGTGTGAAATATAATTATCCGTTGAATCAATATGTTTTTCCATAATACTTTTATAAGCAAATGACTTTTCACATTAAAAAAAGTTTTAAGGTATCCGATCATTATGCACTGAATTCATATGGATTTTTAAATAACTCTTACTGGAAAATGACTTTCCACAAATATTACACGAAAAAGTGATATGATTATGTGCTGAATCAATATGAAATTTCAAACTTCTCTTGAGTGAATATGTCTTTCCACATGTTGGACATGGGTAATTGATATGATTATGCATTGAATCAATATGAAATTTCAAACTAGGCTTTATTTTAAATGTCTTTCCACAAGTGTGACATGGGTAAGATATACGATTATGCTCTGTATCAATGTGGTACTTCAGATATTCTTTCCTTTTAAATGCCTTTCCGCAATCATCACAAATGTAAGAGATACAGTTATGCTCCATATCAATATGCAATTTCAGACAATGTTTTCTTTTAAATGCCTTTCCACAATCATCACAAGGGTAAGAGATACAATTATGCACCGAATCAATATGGATCTTAAGATAACTTTTTCGTGTAAATGACTTTCCGCATAAATCGCAGTTGAGAGTTTTCCCTTCATCATGCACTAAATCATTATGTAATTTTAAACCACTTTTAAATATAAATGATTTTTCGCATATATTACAGTTGTGAGGTTTATGACCATTATGTGCCGAACCTATGTGCACATTGAGATAAGGTTTACTTTTAAATGTCTTTTTACAAATGTCACACGGGTAAGTTATTCGATTATGCACCATATCAATATGAGTTTTCAGAGCATATTTTTGTGTAAACGATTTTCCGCATATATCACACTTGTGAGGTTTTCGACCATTATGTGCCAAACCTATGTGCACATTGAGATAAGGTTTACTTTTAAACGTCTTTTTACAAATGTCACACGGGTAAGTTATTCGATTATGCACCATATCAATATGAGTTTTCAGAGCATATTTTTGTGTAAATGACTTCCCGCATATATCACACTTGTGAGGTTTTCGACCATTATGTGCCGAACCTATGTGCACATTGAGATAAGGTTTTCTTTTAAATGTCTTTTTACAAATGTCACACGAATAGGACTTACTATTATCCACTGAATTAATATCGGGTTGCACAGATATTTTAGCAGATAAGTTCTTCAAACTTGCATCACACTCAGCAGATTGTTTAATTTTATTTACTAAACGATCAATTTTATCATTCTGTCCGTTAAGTTTGCAGCCAGTTATTATATCTATAGTTTTCTGAGTATCACTAAAAAACTCTTTCTTGACTTTGCCCTCAGTTTCAATTTTAATCGAGGAATTTTTAAGAATTTGATATTGATCAGACCGTTGAGACCAACTGTTAACTTCATTAGGTACTGATAAATTTACATTGGGTTCAAAATCTTTGCACTCAAACTCTATTTCAATTTCGTTCTTAGGTTGAAATTGATGACTTACTTTGTTGGTTTCATCAGATACAAATAAATTAACGTTAGGCTTCTCATCTTTGCACTCAACCTCGGCTTTGATTTGGTTTGATTGAAATTCATGAATTCCTTTATTTAGTACTAACAAATTCTCTTTGGGTTTGACATCTTTGCACTCAAATTCTACTTTAATTTTTTGGTTAGATTGAAATTCATTTATTCTTTTGTGTTCCTCAAGCGAGTGAATCTGTTATAAAAATAAAGCTTTTTGAATATTTTGTTAAAAATGATAATTCAATCAATTTTAAATATAAATCAACTTACAAAATTTTCTTGCACATATCTGAAACATTGTGAAATTTCAGTATTGGATGCTTGATCTTTCGTTCCACCATTATCATTTTCGTTATAACACATTTGATTAGGCTCATCTTTTACTCTGAAAATATTGATATAATTAAAAACAAATTCACATACTTATCTACTTATTTTCATTTGCATAGTGATAATTACTTAGCAGCAAAGTTGACTATACCACGAGACTCCATTTTTTGCGATGTTAGACCAGTTCACTTCACGAGTACCTTTCTTTGTATCAAATATAATTTAAATTAGCCTTACAAATCATAAAATCGATACGACGACGTGTTAACGTGAGCAAAAAGAAAGAACTGATCAATTTCGAGTGCTCGATATGTTTACAAATATTGAATAGAATCAATACCAGCAGATGAAGTCGAGGTAGTAGAAATTTTATCAGCAGATGATAAACATGACGCAATAGTATAATACCTACAAGTTGTTCTTGATATATTTAAATCTCAATTTGAGAAGAAATTCAAGTTATTACGGTGCTTACACAAAAAATAATTTCACGGAAAAATATAAGGTTGACAATTTTGGAATGATCTTTGACTTTCAACACTGCAATTTGCTTTTGTGTACATGCCTCTTTTGCTGGGAAATTTATTCCAAATTTATTAATAAAGCCTGAAAAGCTTATTTTGTGATTACCATCTTAAAAAAAAACTTTTCGTCTTTTTGTTTTTTTTCTAAAAATTTTTTCTACGTCACTCGCTAAAAATAAAATATCGTATCTTTTTATTTTTTTTATTTTTTGATAAGAATAATAACGAAAGCAATTAAATATAAGCGTAACTATTCTTGCACTAGAATTTATTATTTTGAAATAGAAACTTATTTTAGCATCCGTAGAAATAGAAAAAATCAAATTTCTCTTTGCTGAGCTCTTTGCCAATATATTGACAGCGTTTTTTGATGTTACCATTCAATTTTATCAAAGTTCATGCGAGAACTTGGAGAAAATCAAGATAAGTAAAATGTATACCCTCACTACTTCGAATTGAATTGCTAAAGTTATTTATAATGAGTTAATGTCGAGCGAACAGCATTTGATAAAGTACGTCCAATTGTACGAAGTTGAAGTACGAATTACAACGTTGTATCGCCGTAGAAACTGCGCACTCGAAATACTAAAAATAATCTTCGGCGAAAGTTTAAATGCTCGTCCTTAGGGTGAGTGAAAGGCCAATCGTCAGTCGTGGCAAGAGTTGCACTGCTCGCGGAGAAAATAATATTATAATTTCGAGTTTAAATAGTTGCCCGTAATCAAGCACTCGAAAACAATAAATTGTTGTTTCAATTTTCCCCGATAGCAAATTAATTGATGAATTATTTCGTCGCGAGCTTCATTTCCAGACAAAGCTCACTCTCATTTTCTCGTCGACGCGCTAAAGGAAGGACGCGTTGCTCGACGACAATTTTTCTTCTCTCCCGAGCGAGCGCAATGTGCCGCAGCTATATATTGTTACATCGATCCTCGAGCGCGTATACGTACTTTCGTTCATTTATCACTTTTGTCGTTTTATATACGCGCAGACGATAGAGCCCCAACGACGACAAAATAGAAAAAAATAGGACTTTAATTGCCTCTCTGTCGCTCTCGATACATCGAAGGCACGAGGGAGAAAATTAACGTCGAGAGTCACGCGCACATTGTATAATAATCGTGCCCGCGTCGTTGCAGGTTTCGACACGGAGGGCCTCAACCAACCGGTCTGGGTGGGCGGCGAGAGCGAGGCCCTGACCCGTCTCGAGCGCCACCTCGAGCGCAAGGCCTGGGTGGCGAGCTTCGGCCGGCCCAAGATGACGCCCCAGTCGCTGCTCCCGTCGCAGACCGGCCTGTCGCCCTATCTGCGCTTCGGCTGCCTCAGCACGCGGCTGTTCTACTACGAGCTCACGGAGCTCTACAAGAAGATCAAGAAGACGGCGCCGCCGCTGTCGCTGCACGGCCAGCTGCTCTGGCGCGAGTTCTTCTACTGCGCCGCCACCAACAATCCCAACTTCGATAGGATGCACGGCAATCCCATCTGCGTGCAGATACCCTGGGACAAGAACACCGAGGCATTGGCCAAGTGGGCTAACGTATGTCTCGTTAATATTGTTATTTTTATTGTTCTTTTGCTGTTAACCCTGGTACAACATACATCTAACACTAACATCTTGTCCGTCGTTTACACTATATTTTTACTTAAACACTTATTTTGACTTTGCCACTTGCAAGTTTACATACAAAAGCACATGCCATCTAGTGGTGAAGACTTAAAGTTGTATTATCGTATTTAAAGTGATTGAGAATGGATCTAAATTTCTTTTAAACATTTAAATTGTCATTTTCAAAATGCACGCAATAATTTTAACATATAGTTTTTGTAGCAAGACAATTAATAAAAAAAAACAAACCAATTATTCGTTACATACTTTAAAACATTTCAAATGGTCATTTTTTTGGTCATAAGACGTAATATGCTGACATATTACACACAACAAAGTTTTCATCGCAATACAAACCTATCAAATTGTTCTCGCATAAAAAATATTCCTTCGATCAACCTTTTAATTTAAAATTTAGCTTCTCGTTCGCCGTAACCCATAATAAATGGTCGAGCTGCTAGACGGGGCATCGATGCCACCCGCGAGCACACGCGAATCGGAGCAATGAAAAGTACATTACGAGTGTCACTGTGTCTTGCTCGTAGTACGTACGTACGTACACACTTTTTTTTGTCCCCGGTTTTCGGTAAAGGGGTAAAGTTTGCGGGGGCGCTTATCTTTTTCTTGCCCCCTCTGCCCCCGTTCCTTTCCTCCTCGAAATTGCATCATTATAAATCACTGCGCGCGGGCTGAAAAAGTTTTGCCGACCGAGCCCCGAGAGCGTGAGCGACGCATCGCATATATGCGTGACACGTACATGCTTCTGCACGCTACAGTACAGAAAGTATGACGTGCTGTTACAAACACACATAAGCACACACACAAGTTTACACTCTTGCACGCCGCACAATTAGCAATTAAAAATTCACGGGATAACACAGCGATGTATTCGTACGTACACGAGCGAAGTCAATGAACCATCGTGTTTTTCCGAGCATATATTATGTATTAAATACCGTGCATATGTATTATTGTGTACACAGGGCCAGACTGGCTTTCCCTGGATCGACGCGATAATGACGCAGCTGCGTGAGGAGGGCTGGATTCATCATTTGGCCAGGTACGCGGTCGCCTGCTTCCTCACCCGTGGCGACCTTTGGATCTCCTGGGAGGAGGGCATGAAGGTAACGAACGAACCCAATTGTACAAAGTTCGTCTCTCATCTCTCTCTCTCTCTCTCTATGTTATATCGATCTTTCGGTGCGCTGCAGATTAAGAGATTAAAATCGCAGAAATCGTTGTAAGACCGGCCTCTCGACGTAATGAAACGTAAAGTTCTCTTATATGGTCCCGAAGAATCGAGGTACAATAATGATCGCGTAATAATACTCGAAATGAGTGTACATCGCGACGAGGAGGAGGAGGAGGAGGAGGGCGAACAATCGGGCCGGATTATCAGCCATTCGAGAGCGAAATAAAAGGGCCAATGAAGAGAGCGCGTATTTCGGAGCGTTGTTTTGCAGCAAAGACGAGATAAAAATTGCTACCGGTTTTTTATTGCAAAATTATCCGGCCGTTTCTCCTTTGGTTTTGACTAGCTATGTATTTTTTTTATTTTTATTTTTTTTTTTTTACTTTTTATACTCTCAGTCGATCGCTCTTTTATTTTATTTTATTTTTAACTCATCCGAGTGGGGCTTTTATTTCGATAGGTTTTCGACGAGCTGTTACTCGACGCCGACTGGTCGATAAACGCGGGCATGTGGATGTGGTTCTCGTGCAGCTCGTTCTTTCAGCAATTCTTTCACTGCTACTGTCCCGTAAGATTCGGCCGAAAAGCCGATCCCAACGGCGACTACATCAGGTGAGTTTTATGCACACCCTATACTATCACTGTTAAAGACCTTCAATTTTCAACGAAGATTTGATGTAAAATCGAATATTAAAATTATAGTCATCGATACTGAATTTTTTTGCAAGGTACTTTTTATGAAATCTTTGTTGAAAATTACTGATTTATTTTTTCGTCATAACTACAAAAAATTCATGAAGATGCAGTTAGGTAAATTATTCTTAATGCAAAAATTAACAAGAAAGATTCAGTTCTATGTATTCAAATTTCGACATTCTGATTGTAAATTAACATTTTAATAACTATCTATCTTTTGCGTCGAACGCACAAATGATGTATGCTATTTCAATCAAAATTAATGCCAGCCTCCACCGCTAGATGGCGATTACCTTTTTCTGTAAATCTGCAAGTGGCAAAGTCGAAATAAAAGTATATAAGTCGAAGCGAGGCTTTATATGATAGTCATATCCATATGTACAGTGGGGTCTCGTTATACGCGGGGGTTACGTTCCTCAAAAGTAAAAGTAGTATAATGAAACCGCGTATATCGGGACCTTACGCTTATGGGAAATAGGGGGTTACGTTCCAAGAACTCGAAAGTTGGCATAAAAAAATAATTTTATTTATAAATAATATCAAAAATTGTCATTATTTTCCAAAATAATCCGTCAATTTTGACTGCTTTGATCTTCTCAAAATATCTCTGTACAATTCTTCGTAAATTTGGACTGCCGAATCACCCAAGCTCTTGAAATTTAGACTTCGAACCATTATCGGATCACTGTGCATTGCTTGCTCCGACGCCTGTTGCACGAAATTTATAATTATAGCAATCGCAGCAACTTTTTCAAAAGCCAAAGACATAACTTTTCTATTCTTTTTTGATATCGTTTTTCTTGGAGTTCTCATTGGAGTTGACGGAGCCATGATTTTAAATTCAAAAATAAATCTCAAATATCGGAAGATGGTAAACGATATCAAAATAAGGTTACAAAAAACTAAAAACAAAAGTTCGAAATGAACATTGCGTCGACTCTATCCGCGTATAATGAGGGGTCGGCGCAAATCACAATCCGCGTATAAGGGTAATCCGCGTAAAATGAGACCGCGTATAACGAGGGACTCCTGTATTGTAAAATTTTTTAATACCAAAAACCAGAGCGATCATCAAAAACCTGAAGTTGAAGAAATAAACATGCTAAAAAGCCAAAAATTAATACGAACAGAAAGTGATATTCGAATGACGAAATAGTCATAAGTAAAAGAAAAATGACCACCTGTAACTATACCGGAAGCCCCCATTGTAACTACCTCCACAATAAAGACATATTATACAACTAAAACTGTGTAATAATGAACCGCGCTTGAAAAATACTATGGTTTCTTTTTAGAGTTGTTAGATTTGTAATAAGATTTGAAATAATATTTGTAAAAAAATTTTCCATTATAAAATCGCCAAACTTATTATTACGAAATTCAACAAATGAATAAAAATTAGTCATTTGATGTATTACGCTAACTCGTGCATATCTTTGAAACGCCGCAGCAATTTCAAATAAATAGTAAAAAAAATTACAAAATGAAAATTAATTGTGAATTCGAAAAAGTAAATACTTTCAACGGTGTGGACACAATTAAAAGACGCATTATCGCGCGAGACAAGTGTAATTATATCTTCAATATTCTCTCATCTGCCCCGCAGACGATACCTGCCGGTTTTGAAGAATTTTCCGACTCGCTACATACACGAGCCGTGGAACGCGCCGCTGAGCGTCCAGAGAGCCGCCAAGTGCACCGTGGGCAGGGATTACTCGCTGCCGATGGTCAATCACAGCAAGAGCTCGCGCATCAATGTCGAGCGAATGAAGCAGGTTTATCAACAGCTGTCGAAATATCGCGCCAACGGTAAGCGATCCCGTTTCTTTCTCTCCATTCCTTTTATCCATATATGTGTATTAAATATATCCGATAAATGTGCGCGCGCTTTAATACCCCCCGCCATCGGTTAAAAAACTCGCGGATGCGGATTAGCTTTGCGCGCGCGTGAGTGTGTGTGTGTATACGCTTCGCTCGCGCGTATATCAAAGGCTCGATTTTTTCATTTAATTCCGTCTCTTTTGCAGGTGTTGCTTTGAATGGCGAGACAGTAGGTGAGTTGTCAATGGACTGATTGATATATTTGACCGATCGAACGCACGAGCGCTTGTCTTAATTTCGAATTTGATCGCGACTCTTAGAATAAATTAAACGAAAAGCAGCCTGATTTCTGAACCTCTCTTCTGATCACCTATAATAATTGAATTGATAATCCTTTTTTTCTTACAACTTTCACCTTCTAATAATCTTAAAAAATTTATGATTACCGCGTTCGCTGAAATAAACTTCTTTCTGTGCTAAAATTTGTTTCTGTCCCAACAAAACAAAAAAAAAATATAGATTGTCGAATTGAATAAAACTATGATATTTTTCACCCACTGCAGAAAGATCTTTGATGTCGTTTTAAACATTTACAACGACCGAAGCGCAAAAATTGAACGAGAGAAAAAGTATGCCGAATCGAACGAAATTCTGGGGTGAGATAGCTGGTTATACGAAACTTCGAAAGATGCCAACTCAAAAGTCAATGTGAGAAAGCGAGATGCCGTTTGACAAAAGTGTGTTATTCCAAAGTCTCAGGACAAAAAAAAAGACAAACTTCGAATCAGTTGAAAAAAAAAAAAAAAATTTGTGACCGAGATTGCGTTAGGATAAACAGAAAAAAATCGGACAGAGATTTGTAGCCTTACCTTTTGAAAATGAAATCGAAATATCTCACTAGACTTTTCTTGGGAACTGCTTTCACGATTCCAACGATAATGATCGATTTTTTTCTCTTCAATTTTCTGCCTTTCTCAGGACTGCTCAGCGTAGCGCCCACGCCGCCTTTAATCGGATACGACCAGCTGGACGGCGAGTTGGATCAGGCGAGCCAGCAGCAACGTCTCAATAACGCGTCCTCGAATGCCGAACAATTGGATAGGGAAAGTTCACAAAATCAGCAAGATCCCCAGCAACAGCAACAACAGCAGCAACAACAACAACATCAAATACATCATCTTCATCAACATATGCATCAACAGCATAATCATCATCCTTAGCCTTTGGATTGCATATCATGAAAGAATTTCTCATTCATGGTTTTCTCCAGACATCTTGAAAGTGAAAAAGGTTTTAAGAACGAAAATCACTTAGTTTTAAATGTAAAATCAGTTAATCAATCGTTCAAACAGAATCTAAGTTTGGACTGTTACTTATATATCACGCATGTACATTTTAAGTATTAATTATTATAAATCTATCATAACACCCACTGATCGATCATTAAAATTTAAATGGCAGAAATAAATATTGCTGCACTTTATGCAAACCAAGAGTATTAAATATATTTACTCGTTACGAACTCGGCTTTTATATGAAACACAAGCGATGTGGCTTTTTGATTGTGTAACCAATAATCGGATGTGACCCATTTTTTTTCTTCAAGTTAGCACATTCAGATTTTACTGTTAGAACCATTAATTAGTAGAAAAAAAATCAAGCCCATGAAACATTGTGAAACCGAGACAAACAAAAAAAATACTAGAAAGATTTTTTCCAGTGTTTATTTTTATAAATATCAATTTTGATATTATCATCAAATTTTCCGTAAGGAAACTAATATATTTACTATATTTGACAAGTTAATAAGTAAAGTGCTGTGCACTGAAAGAAAGGAAAGAAGAATGAATTAATCATTTTGAAGAGTTGTATAATTCGAAAAATATAAACGATAATTTATTTTATGTTTGGTTTTCTACATTTTTCAGATGTACATTTTTTCTTATCTTTATTTATATCAATATTCATAAAAAATGAAGAAGTACGTGGAATATACGTGTTTATAAAATCTACAAAATTATTCGAAAATAAATTATACTTTGATTAGCCTTAAAAAATATTATCGACATTAATGAATAAGTTTATAATTTCAAGTGTAATCATTTGTTAAGAGTATTTGTAGAGCATTTTTATACAAAATAAAATACATAATATTTTTCACGTTCATATAGTTATATTTTTAAAGAATGAAACGGACTGAAAATTAAAACAAAAAAAAATTAAATAATATTTATGTAATAATGTTAATTTTAATTTTTCTACGTGAATTCGAAGGCTATAAAATTTTCTTGTAATAGATCAACGGTGCTTTATGCGTGCCTACTCGTTAATCTGTAAATCCACATTACTGGATTGTATCTCTATTTGGCTATCACAAATTAGAAGTTTGAATGTAATCAAGTACATGTAAACAAATTTTCGCTAAAAAGCTATTCAAAAAAAATGTATGAATACATTTGGACTGTCGCTTGAATATTCATCATAATTATACACAATTATTTCAATGCGTAAAATAGTTTACCTCTGAATAAAATATTCTATTAGGCAATTTTTGTACACAAAAAGAAAACAATGGAATAAATAAATTGTAAATATTGGTGTGATTACTCGAGACTCGAGAGTCTACGTTAAATATAGTTCCAATTTTGTTAGTAAAAATTTTTAAATTGGTTTTCAAATCTGTAAAAAAAAAAAAATAATCAACGCTACTCACACAACGGTGTCATTTTGACCGATGGAATAAAGAAATTTTGAGAAGAAAAAAAAGTAAATCATAGCGTATCATCATTGTACGATTCTTTCCTTTGCAGAATATTGCCTATATCCGATCGACGCACGACGGGCTCGCAAGACGTCCGAATAATTCGTGGCAGCAGCAGCAGCAGCAGCCTCGGAGCGACGCTTAATGATCCCCGGCGCGGTGGCGCGTATACCTGCGCGCCTGTCTACGTATGTACACGCGCACCTATGTACACGCATGAGTCGAAGTCCAATGGACTGCACCGATGCGTGGATCGAGTTATGCCCCGAGGCACATGTAGAGAGAGAGAGAGAGAGAGGCCGAGGCTCGTTGTACAACGCAGTACAAGCAAATCTCTCTCGCAGTAGCAGCGGCGCATCGTAGCGTGCACTTTTGTTTGCTCTTTGATAATATACATTTCTGCATTATTGGATTATGTACTATCGAAAGTGAGATTGAAATTCATTTTATAAAGCTATTGAGTTAATTGGGGGCTTAAGAGACGCGATGGAGCTTTTATACTCGGGGCGCGGGTGCGAGGTATATAGGTAGGCAGGCAGGCAGTTGCTAGGTGGCTGCGATGAAGGGGACGACGGTGGCTGGGGGGGCTACAGAGTAGTGGCGCTTAATAGACTCTCATTTTTAAATATTCATCAAAATGCGCGTAATAAGGCAAGAGAAAGAGATATAGGAGTATTTCAGAGGCAGTCCTCCTTTTTAATGCCTCGCAGAGTGCGAAGAGGGGGGTGGTGTAGAAGAGGGAAAAAGAGCGCCGCGCGTCGAGGCAGTAATACGCCGGGCGTCGCTAAGAGAGCGAGAGAGAGAGAGAGAGAGAAGTTGCATATCAAGCAGAAATTGCACGGATCTTGGGAGAAAGAACGGCAATTAAGCGTAGCGTAGCGCGCGAGCGTCCAGTGTCGAGAAAGGCACCTAGCAAATCAATTTTATCTCTCTCTCTCTCTCTTATTTCGAGCTTTTTTCCCGCTCGCAGAATTTCTACAATTAAGAGACCCAAAGACAGGACAGGATTCCGTCATTGCGTCATGACGCATTTTTTTACCTCAACGCGACACGTATACATATCAGTGTACTTATACACTACTATCGAGCTGTTATTTTGCAAAGTATAATTATCTTTTAGTCGGGGTCAGGGCCCGGAGCTTTCGTAGGTACGGGGGGTGGGATATATTTTTTTCGCTCAACCGAGAGAGCTGGCTAGGCTATATAGGGGACGTATACCGAGAGAGAGAGAGAGTCGAAGACGGCAGGAAAAAAAAAGTAGGATGGGCGTGTATATAGTTATAGGTATATGAGCAGTAGCTTCCTATAGCTGCTGCTGCTGCGTGGAGTGGCAAGCGGCGGCGATGTCCAGGACGGCGACGCCGAGTAGAGAAGCAAGTTACTGCTGGCGTACATCTATAGTGACAGTTTCCAACTTTCGGATCGATTCGATGTGCACCTACTACTACCATCACCACCACCAAGACTACGGACTATAAGACGATGGCTATTTGCTTCGGCAACTCGAGACTCGAGTCTCGACCTTATACTATATATATACCCCACGTCCGCGTGATACGTATACGCATTCCGTATAACTATGGATGCTTTTTTTTCCTTCGACTATATCTGCGGCTCTCAGGCGCTGCTGCTGTTCCAACTTCTTCTTATGCTACTATATACTTCGAGTCTGACGCCTTACTTAAATACGCCGGGGCGGCCTCATATTATATAGACGCGAGTTCGATTTTTTTTTCCTTTTTCTTCCTTCTTTTTTCCTTACTCGACGTCGCGTCGTCGATGATTACTTCAAGTCCTATAATTGCGTGCGAACTGCATAAAATATCGCGACGAGAAGAGAGGAAGAAAAAAAAATTGTGAATCACGAGACAGATTTTTATACGCCGACTGGCAAATGAGCTTGTTTTTCCGATGCTCGCTAGTGTATACAATATGATGCATCGTGCAGCAAAGCAGCAGCAGCGGCAGCGGCTATAGTCGATAAGAAAACTACTGCTCATGGAGAGAGATACCGCTGTCAAGATAACGAGTGTTCATTTTTACTTTCTATATATCGCGTCGACTTCATCGCTCGAGCGCAGCGAAAATTGAGAAGAATGGATTATATTTTTCAAAACGGCCGCGTGTATATATGCCGATCTATTTGCTGCGGCGGTGGAGGCTCCGCGATTTATCTTCGTTAGTTCGGATGTATTTTTTTGGGGGGAGAACGGAAAATTTCGAATTCAAATCGGCCGTGAAATTTCGATTTTTCATTCGGCGTATAAAACTGCGAAGATATTGATGAATGCAACGATATTCACGTACTTATTTAAATTGACTCGAAAAAGAACAAATAACCACCCAGATGCTTTTAATTATTCTCGATGGAGAATCGCGAAGAATCGAGTATTGCAAGGACTGCGGGTCACGAAATGGCGCAGACTCAAATTTAAAAAATCTAAGATGTAAATAAGTATTATTCCGAAAAGAAAATCTTAAAATCGGGCAACTTTTTCCCCGATAATTACTCGATTCTACTTAAAAAGAAAGAGAAAGAAAAGGGGGCCGAGTCGTGCACGCCGTGGAGGCAGCAAGCAGAGGGGAAGAAAAAAAAAGAAAAAAAGAGAAGAAGTAAGTGCAAGGCAAGCAGTAGCTGCTAGACAAAGTTGTTACAGACCAATGTACGAGTGCCTCCGAGGGGGTATAGAGCTTACGTGGAAAACAATCGAGAAAGCGAGAGATAGAACAATAAGCCAATCAACGGAAATTCCGCTCCGAGTTTCGTTCGTTCGCGCGCGCGCGCATACACCCACACAGATCTGCACTCGCGTATACATATACCGTAATATGTATATAGACATACACATTTCCACGTTTAACTTTGGTCGATCTCGTTAAGCGATTATCACGTGGACGCGCGCGAGAGAGCCCATCCCTTATACACTGCTACTCGACAATAGCCGCACCAGCAGCTGTCCATAATAAAGGATATCGTATATGTATATGTTTCAATAAAATAATTTAGGTATCCGCGAGCGTATTATTATTATGATTACGACGCGCTGGAAGTTCTTGATCGGTCGAGTCGGGAGGGACGGTACTTGCTGTTTGCCCTTTGAAACGGGCCGTGCAGCTGCTGTCTCTGTTCTCGCGTGTCCGCGCTTTCGGATGCGTTTTATATAGGCGTTGGCTTACGAGTATATAATTTTAATGTATGACATAAGACATGTACGAGGAATTTCATAAATCTGTGAATGTTAAACTATTATAAGTATTATAATACGCAAGTTTAATTAATTTTTTATTCGAAAACCTTTTACTATACGGAAAAATGTTATAGAATAAAAAGGTTCAAAACTCTAATGAATTGTATAGTTTTCAAAATTTCTCGTAACAATTTGGGAATTCGGGATTAGGATCAGATTTAAAAAAATCCGAAATGTTTGAAAAAAAAGCAAGTCCAAACGTGTTATTTATTATATTAATTTATATGCAAAGAATGAGATAGAAAGCTTTTCACAGATATGACAAAACTGATAACATTTGAAAATTTTCTCAAGTTTTTTCACAAAATTAAAGAATTCTTATGTCTAATGTTTTTATACATTACGCATGTAATTGCAAATATATTGTTTGAACAGGTCTCGGGAACAAACTGAATTTTTTAAAGATTAATTACGATCATGTACTGCATTGGCGTGACGTTTGAGGTCACTTTTCTGTCCAAATAATTTGCGACAAACCTTACATTCAAAGGGTTTGCTTTGATCATGTACTGCATTGACGTGACGTTTGAGGTCACTTTTCTGTCCAAATGATTGATGACAAATGTTACATTCGAAGGGATTGCTACGAGCATGAACTGCATTCAAATGATATTTTAAGGTGTGCTGGTATCCAAATGATTTGTGACAAGTGTCACACTCAAAGGGTTTAAAGTGATCATGAACGACACTTATGTGAGTTTTTAGATAACCTTTGAATGAAAATGATTTGTGACAAATATCACATTCAAAGGGTCTGCTCCGATCATGAACTGCAATTATGTGAAGTTTGAGATAACTTTGGTAATCAAATGATTTGTAACAAATGTCACATTTGAAAGGTTTGATACGATCATGTACTGAATTTTCGTGAATTTTGAGGTTTTGTTTTTGTCCAAAAGATTTGTGACAAATCTCACATTTAAAGGGTTTGCTACGATCATGATCGGTATTCAAATGATTTTTTAAGGTCTGCTGGTATCCAAATAATTCGTGACAAGTGTCACACTCAAAGGGTTTGATGCGATCATGAACCATAATTATGTGAGTTTTGAGGTTACCTTTGAATGAAAATGATTTGTGACAATTTTCACATTCGTATTGTTTGCTACGATTATGTACTGCAATTACGTGATTTTTGAGGTATGCCTTGCGAGAAAATGATTTGTGACAGATCCCACATTCAAATCTTTTGCTGTGATCATGTCTAGACTTAAAATGAAATTTAAGATCGCTTTTGCAGGAAAATGATTCATCACAAATCTCACATCTATGGGGTTTAGTTCTTTTAAATGTCGAATTCGTTTGCTTTTTCAGACTTGCTCTTGTTTTAACAGTTTTTTGACATAATTTCGACTCACGCGATGATTTTCTTCTTTCACCATTTTTTTCAAAAATTTCAAGCTTCTCATAATCGGCAATTTTGCAACTGGGGTTAACATTCAATTGACAATTATTGTCATAATTAAATCCCTTTTTGAGACTTTTATCAATCATGTGGTTGGTTGAATTTTCCTTTTCTGTTTTTACAGTAGATTGGAAACTTTTATGCTCGGTCTTGCAGGTGGTGGTCGATAAAAGCGGCAGTTCAGGCTTAATATATTTGCACTCCAAATCTATGAATATTTTTTCATCTAACCTCTCCTGTAACGCCACGGCCTCATTCGAATGCTTTGCCTTGAATTAAAATTCTGTATTAGTTTTGAATTGTGGACAGACAGAACATAGTGCAAATCATTATAAACTCACCGATAATTCATGAAGCGGTAACGTATCAAAGTTTTCGGCTTTACAAATGTCCCCCAAATTGAAAAAGCAATCATCACCTGCGTTCGACCAAGTATCGCTCGGCTCTTCTTTCACCCTGAAGAATATTCGAAGTACAAGAGAACGCTCCAAAAATGATCGTAGTAGTATATAACATAAAAATATAATACCTAACTGCGTTATTGCTCTCCATGGCTTCCTAGATTATATATATTTACTGTGGTTTTTCACGATCTAGAACCTACAGAACTTTCACGATATACACTCAGAAAATATTTGGGGTTAAGTACCTCAATTGACTGATAATGTACCTCGAGTTTAACTATAACACCTCTATTTTTTACGTAAATAATTTGACATACTTGCTAGTAGTAAACTTAACTCCACATTAGCGAGTAAACGAAGCAGTCCTATACAATGTTAATCGCAAATATAATGATGGATTCTCTACCTTCCACTACGCACTCACGCAGTTATTGAGCTCGTGTGTCGTTTCGTTTTCCGATTTTACATTCTGCCACTAGGTAGCGCGAAAAATAAATCAAAAAATACTCGTTCACGCTTTCATTTGAGTTACGACTGAAAATCTTAAATTGTATAAATCCAAAAAAATGTTAAACTATTAATGCCCACATCAAATTACTTTTTTTACTCAAAAAAACATTCGCTTTATGAAATAATATTATAAAATAAAAAATCTTCAAATGAATGTATTGAAATATGAATTTTTTTAGAATTCATATTTTTTATTTTCAGAAAACATTTTCCGCTGAATCGATGTTTAGCGAGTGAGAAGTAATAGAGATACCAACAAATAACTACCAACATCCATTACACGCGTCCAAAGTGACAAAAATATTAATCCGTCTCCAATTCGAACGTTTTTTCTGTAGAGTCACTCATATACTATAATGACTTTTTGTTACCTTGTATACATTCTTGGGTACGCGATGCCACAACGCGTACGTTAATATGATACATTTGTCGAGCACAGCTACTCCCTTTCGCGTTGCTTAAAAAAAAAAGAAACGAAAAAAAAGCGAGGCCAAAAGGGTGCAAAAAAAATGCGCCACCGCGAAAAGTGAAAAAAAATCATGCGCTGCGTCGCAGCGGCTACGGGAGAAACTGAATAAATATAACGTTGTAGTTTCATTTGTCGTAGAGAAAATACCGTAGCACAGCCACAACAACGTGTACCATACACTGCGGCGTCAACGCGGAGGCAAGAGTACAAAAAAAAAAGAGTACGTATTTTTCATTACACACGCAGTGTATATACTTGCTCACGCGCGCGCGCGGTCAAGTAGTACAACGTATAGATGCATGGGTACACATATAAAATATATATAGGCGCATCGATCGAAAACTTATTGAGCGCCGAGTGTATATAGAGCTTCAGGAAGAGGATGAGCTGCCGAAAATGAAAGCGTATAGTGGCTAGATAAGATATATTCCGGCGCAGAAAGTGCATGCACCCTCTTGTGTACACACACACACACGCACATAAGCTTTTCACATGCACACATACACACACGCTCGCTATCCAGTATAATTGACCAAGTTTTGCTTGGAGCTCGGACGCAGCGCAGCGGAGAATAGATCGATGATGCAGCGCGGAGCGCCGTGGCTGCAAAGATTTTGTGCATGTGTAGTGAAATTTTCGTCGAGTCATCGCTATTGACGTTGCGGCTCGGATGTATATAATGTATAAGGCCGCGGGTGCTTCATCACACCCACACACACGTAGACACACTTTTCGCCTCTTCTCTAGCGGAGCCGCAGCGTGTGGAGATGCCTCTGATTTTTACAAATGACTATGCGGCAAAAGACGACGGTGGATGGAGGCTATTTACGTGTGTGTGTGTGTGTGTGTGTCGTCTCGCGAGATTTTTAGCTTATATGCGTTTGTCTTACTTTTGCCTTTTGTATGTGTATAGGTGTAGTACGTACCTAGGCCCTTTTTGTCGCGCTCGAGAGAGAGAGACAGACGTCCTCTCGCGCGCATCGTTAATATCAATTTCTTAGCCCCGAGGAGAAGCGATTTCTCTGCCTCCGCAGCGCCACTTTAAATATTCCTTTTATATATATTTATTTGGAGAAAAAATAACGCGCATGTACGTATACGAATGTGTTGTGTGTGTGGGTGCATGTGAGCTGTGCATCCTGTGCGGAAAAACTAAATTTCTCATATTATGTATGTTTTCTTTACGAGCGCGCAGAAGGAAATACATTTTTCGAGCGTAAATCACCCAAAAGTCGCACGGTGCCCTCAAGATATATAGGACCTTCAAAAGTCTCTGCGCATCGTGCTCCCACGCAAAAGAGGGAAAAATTTCCAGAATGATGAATGGATCTCGTCAAAATTTTCTCTCTCACTCGTACCTTTGCGAGCTCGATTTTTTTTTATGTAACTTTTCGATAGTATACACAAAGCAGTTTCGTATTAATGCTCTAAATTTCATCATTTCGAATATTCTAATTGAAAATGGAATTCGTTTATGGAATGATCATCTTGCCTAAAAAATTACTTTACAGCAATAAATATTTCGTCTGTATCAGATGGTAAAATTAATTGAAAATTATGAGGAACATAATTGTTGACTCTAATGATCAAGTATGTAAAAAATGTAATTGGTTCCTTAGATATACGGCAAATTTTTTTAACAAAACAAAAATACTCTTCATTGTCCAAAAATAGGTCGAGTAATTTGAAAATTGAAATCGTATTTTTTTATTACTCGTTTTGAAGTTCAAATGAAAGTACTGATAATGAAAAGGAACATATTTGTAGAGTATAATAATCCGGAGCATTTTACTTGATTAGTTTCATCGTTTGTCTTCTTTAGGTCGTAATTATTCGATTCAAGTTTTTTCACTAAATTAAAAGTATTTTGTAATTAACTATTCGAGAAATCTGAATTATATGATTATTGAAGATTTTATCATCTCGAGTTCAAATTGCGATGAAAATAAAAATTTGATTAATGAGTATCTCTCCCGTAATGAAAATTGATCTTCAGCTTTTTTCGTAATGTCTTTTGTTACATTCGTACGTAAAGTAATGGTGTTAAAAAATTGTCGAGGTTGAAATTTTTCTTTCGCACACATTTTTAAAGAATAAAACGTTTGGTGTAGAAATGCAACCTTGAATTTCAGAACACGACATTGCCACAAAAATTATTTATTAGCTACATGATATTGATTATTGTAACTACATATGATTAGTTTAAATTTAAAAACTTTTTCTCATTACTCTTGTCGATTTTCTAAAATTTTTTTTCGAAAAAATTTAAGGCAGCCCTAATTCAGTTACATGACACTATTGAGGAACACTACGTATAAGATCCTTCATTATGAAGGATAAAGTATCCTTGCCATTACTTATACAATTATTTTTACTTTGTCACTTCCAGATTTACAGATGTAGAGGTACTCGCCATCTAGTGGTGGAGGCTGACTTTAATTATAATTAAATTTCCATAAATTTTTTGAATATGTCTCACAAAATTATACTTTTACATTACTTATACAATTATTTTGACTTTGTCACTTGCAGATTTACAGATGTAGAGGTACTCGCCATCTAGTGGTGGAGGCTGACTTTAATTATAATTAAATTTCCATAAATTTTTCAAACATGTTTCGCAAAAAATACAACGTATTATAACGTGTATTAAAATGTTCATTGACAATCAAAATTAGTAACTTTTGGAGTAGTATTGAGTATTTTTTGTTTATTTTTGCATTAAAATGAATGCTTGTGGTTGGAATTTCATAAATTGTGTGTATAATAAGTAAAACACCAATAATGAAATTAGATACCGGTATCTTTAATTTTAGTGCCTGATTTCACTGTAAACTGTTTATTAGAAATATAACGTTTTTTGTGAAAATGCAGTATTGAATTTCCGTATACAGTAATATCACTTAGTTTACACGATATATTGTATGTATCGAGTAGATTTTATATTGATTTATCGTCATTATGTAGGCTCAATGAACATTTAAGTAAATTTTTTCACACTTTTTATCTTTTTTTGTCTAAAAAATCTAAGAGGCAGTCGTGGTTAAGCCAAAAGGCTTGTCTGCATTAAACCCAGTTGAAAATAACACTTATAGCACGCAGCTTAGTGCGCAGAAAATAGTACGTGATATATCTTACAATATATGTAGCGTAATCGTTACTTTGTTCGCTCGAAAAATATCAATTCCTCGATAAAAGTGGAAATTGGTACTGTCGCGTACTCGTGACTTTGTAAACGTTGCGCGTGGGCGCGCACACCCGCGCACATTCAAATTCGGATGTCTTGCATAATACATCGTGCAGTTCTTTTTGTCGGACCAAAATCGATCCTGTACCACTGTCGCATACACATACGCGAGCAGGTAACACACGAAGATTAACAAAAGCAACAGTAAAGCAGTACACGGCCAACCTCCTATTCTGCTATCGTCATGCAAAATTCATTAAGCACTACTGCAGTGGCAGCAGCAGCAGCAGCAGCAGCGGTAGCAGAAGAGAACGAGCAGAAAGTGATGAAGGCTTGAACTAAGCGTCTCGACCCTTAAGTAGATAAGAGGGCAGAGCAGAGACCGTCGCTTGGCTCTTACTGAGACGCGATGATTCTTCATCCCTACAGCTCGGCAGAATAAGTGGCGTTTTTTTTTTTTTTTTTTTTTTTTTTTTTCAAAGTGACGTAAATGGCCTGATGTTTACATTATGCGAGGAGGCGTGCAATCGTTTAGACCAGCCCGTGTGCGCTGCGCACTTTTTGACCGCCTACTCAGCCCCGGCTTCCGTCGCGTATACGCCACTCGTTAAATAATGTTTATCTTTTACCTCGCGCCGTATTTTTCCTACTTTTCGTCGTCGTCGTCATCGTCGTCGTCGTCGTAGGAAAGAGGCCTAACGAGTTGGTAGCGCTCAGCTCTCTTTGCCGAAAGGAATCGAAAATCACGAACGAAAAACGGCGAGCGCTCGTCGTTTCGATTCATACTTCGAGCAAGCTCTGCCCAAGATATAAAAAGTAAAACATCCTATGCGCCAACTGCATATTTTTATAATTGAATTTTTCCTTACATATACGCGTGCGTGTGTGTGTGTTCGCACACGCCGGGGTTGTTTACTCCAAAAAAGTGCGCTAAAATGAGAAGGAAAGGAGGCGCGCGCGAGATACAAAGAAGAAGAGCTGC